AAAAATTAAGATTATCAGCATTTCTGAGAGATATATCAATTCTAGTTACTTGAGCTAAGTTCTCTGAAAGTGGAAATTTGGTAAATACTACATTTATTCTCAAAAGAAGAAATCTGTTATGTGTTTCGGATTCAAATTAGAAGTTTCAGCACCGGAATCGATGATGGCTTGAATTTTTCATCTTTCTTTATCTTTTCTATCCTTCCTTTAGTTACATAAGAATTTTTACAGTTTACACAGGACACTGTTTCGTCTGTGCACTCCAGTTTTGAATGCTCTTCTCCGTACTTGGCACAGACCATCTTAGCTTTGCCATTCTTTGCCAATGTCGAAACTCCTGGAAGATAAAACAGCTTGTAAGTTTAAAGTATTATTTGAATATACACGAATTTAGGCCTATATAAATGCTCTGACGCTATCAAAAGATTGTATATTCACCTTCACAATACAGTTATTCATTTCATCTTTAAATGGAGAGAACTTGACCGCTAACTTTGCCTTTTTGCTGTTTAATGACTCTCTGAATATTGCTTTTATATCCTCATCAGTTGCTTCTTTTGGAACAGCAAAAAGTTCGATTGAGCGTGTGAAGGGTCTAGGTTCAATGAAGATTAGGCTTCCATTCAGTTGAGTTGACTCTTGCAGAACCCTTTTAAGCTTAGTAAGATGTGCTTTCCCTCTATGCCTGACTAGTAATACCTTCAGGCCTATAGGGCGAACCTGCACTATGTTGATTCATATATGTTGAGAGCTTAATGCTGACTTCAATTGTAATAAAATATTTTCAGGTGATCTAGTGCTGTCCGAGAGAGGTTTTAGTAATTGTCTTCGGAACCGAATTTATTCTTCTGCCGGTCGCTACTGTAAACGATTGCCTTCCTTCTGCTTCAGTTTCCTTATTTTCAGATGTTTGAAAGCTTACGTGTAGAAAGCTTCTTTTTCTTCCTCTGTGCTAAGTTAATGGACCTAAGTCTTCTTCAATAGCCGCACTCGTGGATTTTTGGAGATATTCAAAGGGAACTTCAAAATTCAAAGGGTACTAGCTCAAGTGACGAGACTGTCTGTTTTTAAGGGATTCAGCCTGACCTTGTTGATTTGTCAAAAGGAATTCCTGTTCAGTAATAGCTATTATTGAGCAGTAATTGAGTTTTAACTAGGAACTCAAGGAGCGGAACTGAATTAGTTCAAAAGACTGTAGTTTTTTGAGCTAGTTCAGCCAATTACGACAAGATCTTAAAGTCAGCCTGATTGAGTCTATGTTTAGCGTTAAAATTGCCCCGATGTATATCATTTGGAGCTCCGTTCGATTAAGTAGTGGACCCGTAAAGTATAGGAATGTTAACAGTGGTTCAGAAGCAATCGATGACGGTAGGTTTTTAATGGTATCAAAGGGTGGAGGCATATTATTTGTGGCTTACGTAGATGAGAATTTAAGAACGTCTTATATGTTTCAAATGAAAATGTTGGATAAAATCAAGCAAATGACACAAATAGCAATACTCTTACAGAAAATGAACACCAAGTATTCAATAAAGGTTGTTTTCACTGCATACAAAGTGTTCAGACATGAAAACTGTTTTACAGGCTATTCAGGATTAAAATACAATTATAAAAAAGGAACAGTACTAAAACTAAAAATTTATAAAATATTAAATAACTTAAATAGAACAGAAACTACAAAAAATTCCGCTGGCGACAGAAACCAAATAAACATATAATTGTAGGGATAATATCCACGGGGCCGTACGGAATTTAATACTGTACGTGCTAAAAAGAACCAATGATATAACAAATTTTTCTAGTCTGCGTATAGCGCATGCATAGTAAATATTAATTATTATTCTAATACATATACCAGAGCACAATTATTTTATAAAAAATGCAAGAAAGCATGGATGTCTTTAGCAAAGTTTCAAATTTAGGAAGAGGTAAATAAGTATCACGTAGTTTTTAGCGTCTAACTAGTTCAAATCTCACGTTAGTCTTCTCAAATGAAGGTGATAATGTGCTTTCGGTTGGTCATTATATTAAGTGTCCCCATGGCACGCAGACACTGTATACTTTCACCCTTGCCTCCTTGAGGATTTGAATACGTGTCCAACGATACTACAGCCAGCGTCGTTAACCGCTATACCCGTGTTACTTGAAGACAGAAGAACATACGAACTAACTGAAGTAACAGACAAGAAAAAATACTTCTTTTAATAAATCAATTCATGCTGGAATAGTGTTCCTTCCACCCTGTTGCTATGAGAACAATATCTCTTTTTCAAACAAGTGTATTTTTGGCGAAAAGGTCACATCAGAATTCTATCTCATTTCCGTTAATAATATTCACATCGCAGTGTGTTCATGTGCAATCCACATCGCATACTTAAATTAACTATGAATTAACTGGAGTTTCGACGGTATTTGATAAACACTCTCGAGCTCCATAATAAGATCAATGAATTATCAAGTATCTTTGAAACAAGGCCAAGATATGTGGGATCAGTAAAACGTCCTGCAGTTAATATGCCTAACCATGTAACTGTGTGACATTTTTGGGGAAAAAAAACCTGCAAATGTTTTGGTTCATTATTTCACATATTGGTAAAATTCAATTAAGAAATTTGTCTGCTTATAAAGAATTGTTTAATTTTTCTTGTGAGTGTTGTATGTAATTAATATAGTTATTTCTTCACTTGAAATATCCGTAGTAAGGTAATAGGTGTGTTACTCTGGATCACATCAGTAATATCAGAATGTAGTCACTGAATGATAAAGCTCCAATATTCCGTATGCTTATTCCTGGCCTATCTGTTTTGAAGGATGAAGAATAGAAATTTTCTTTTCAAATCAAAGAATATCATGGTACTTCCTCATTTAAAGAACTGCTTAATAAGAAGGTTGTAGGAGAGGATTTCGACCAAGAATTGCTTAGAACGGATTTTTGGAAGATCCTCTTTATCATTTTTTACTTCCTTGTACGAAGTAAAAAGGAAGTATTGTAATCGCGAAAAGTTTCAGCCAGCATATTTCAACGAAAATATCCATTTTGACGGCTAACGAATGCAATTTTACGATTTTTTTGCGCATATCTGTACGTAAGGACAGAATAAAATACTCTTTTCCTTCCAAAAATTATAAACCTGCTTTAAAATTAATTCTGAAAATTTTCGTGCGTCTTTCGAAAGTATGTACGTACATCTGTACGTACTCGCATAATCAAAAACGAGAGCCTCAGAGCGTTGAAATTTTGTATAAGAGCTATAAATTAGATGTGCACCTCGTATTTTGGTTGCAATCGCAGAACCAACGTATATAAATATTATTTATATATATACCTATTACCCGACTCGGTGATTCAGTTTCTTTACTTTTATGTGTTTGTAAATTGTACTTTTTTGGTTTAAAATGATTGAATTATTTTTTTATCTTCCGGTTAAGATTTTTATGCCTTTAGTAAATCTGTGTGCAATATTTTAGAATTAAATCAGAATTTTAAGTTGTTTATTGCCGCAAGACTGTTCTAATGGCGGCCATGATGTTTACATTTGAAACGGAGACTAGTGGATCTGTTCCAATCTAGAGAAACTTAGCTTCGCAACAACAAAGATACGCATTCATGTATTATGCCAGTAAATCATGCTTAATTCTTTCTTGGAATTTTTTTCGGGAAATAAGCGTTTGAGATTTACTTCGTAATTTTTAATATAGATATTTTGAGTTTTTAAGTATGTTTGCCTTCTCGCGAAGTGAGAACTGAATAATTAAATGAGAAATACTCAATCGTCTGTGAAAAACTGTTTTATTTTGTTTTGTTAGTATTTCTTTTATGCATTTCTAGCTTTATTATAGTATTTGAATAGAACATGTGGCACGATTAGATAATCTTTAAATGATATACATTTTGTGCATTCTGACTTATAATATGAAGGAAATATAATACTGTTAAGAAACTAGCGCCAGAGTTGTCGCATGGTAAACCAAAGTGAATTTAAAGAATGCATTTATTTTATTGTGGTTTATGCGCTGTCAGCGAAGTAGGTTTAATTAAATCTAATAAGTTTAAACAAAATGCAAGAAAAATTGCGTATAATTTAATATTCCGTACAAGGAAGTCATGTGGTGTACACATCAGATTTTTTTAGAAGTAGTAATAATAGAAATAGAAGCTGTCTAGAGCTCCAGATCACCTATATTTGCGTATTACTTTAATCGTAATATACCCGAACCGTTGATACTCGGATTGTTTCTCTTGGTGAAGATCGATTTCACTTTTTCCTTATTAATCAGAGTCTTCATCAATCGATCTGATTAAGTAGAAAGTATGTACACCGACAACAATTTTCTGAATGTTTACAAAGAGATAACCGTTCAGCATATGTGATGGATGTACCCTTTGTACATCAGATATCTCAGATCAACCGAAATTTGGTTATCAACAAAACTTGATTTTAATCTATAAGCTCAGTTGGCTATAATATGGAACATGGTTTTTGAAGAGGCGATACACCTTGGACATAGTGGAAAAGATTGATCTTTTCCTTGATCAAACTCTTCAAGAAACCTTGGCATGAGCAAACTACGTAATGTAATTTATGTATCCTTTAGATTTTAGAACTTGTAGTCCAACTAGTTCAAAGAGCTTTGATATCTGCGTGACTCATGGTTTTGGATTTGAGACCGAAGGATTGATACAGATTGATAAGAATTTGGCTAGTAGGAGTTCATATTTGCTTTTGGTTCTAGTTCATTATTTTTAGATTTTTCCTCCCAGATCAATATGAGATTGTAAACAGCAAGCAAATAAATGTAGTGCTGTGCACATGTATTTAAGGTTGAACTGAATTCATAGATTCCCAGAGAGTCGTGAAAAGAAGCTAGAACTCTATTAAAGATAAGTATTTTAGTTTATGGTATTATATTTGAAGAATTTAGAAGCTTTTTTATTAGGCCGTATCTGTAGAAAAGAGTTTTTAAATGGCCTTACGTAAGCTAAAAAAAAAAGCGAAAGTATGACGAAGAAGCGAAAGTATGACGAGGGGCAACTGCAAAATCTAAGAAGTTCAGACTTTGAGCGTGAAGGTGAGTTGCCCCTCGCTCCCTATTTTTAACTTCGCTGGTTTTTCTTGTCCTTTGTTTGATCAGATAGCCTGGCTCAGTAAAAGTAGGCGGCCAGTGTAACTCTGATTAAAATTCCGGTTATAACCACGTGCAGTGCTGATAAGGACCACGTGTTTCTGAGACTCCTTCCCCTTAATTTTGCTTCTTTCTAGGTATTTCTTTCTCCTGATGAGGAGGGAGCTTTAACCCTCGAAATCGATTGAGTGTTTCAATATACTTACGCTAAATACAAGGTTGTTTTTACGATTTTGATTGTCACATTAGCGTGTTTCTCTTCTAGTCTCATTTGAAGGTAATTGACTAATTACAACAACAACCAAATATTCGCAGAACATGTTCAGTCAAACATCGGTAGAAGATAATTAACCAGTTACAACAGTAATCAAATATTGGGAACATTTAACTAACTTAAAATAGTTTTAGTTATAAGGAAATTAAATTCCGTTTACTCTATCATTTCAAAATCAAATCGTTTGAAAGCTAACAACAAAAGTTTTTTGTAACTTTCCAGCTTCTTAGTAGGCTGTTTATTCTGAATTTATGTTGCTGTGGTTTCACTTGATCGCAAGGAAGAAAGCCTGTAGTAAGTACTCTGGAAGCGTTGAGGTTGACCGAAACGCAACCTTTTCAGTTTCGTCGTTAGATGACGCCATCATCGAATGGAAGATAGCCTCCATACTCCGGAAGTTTTGAGGTTGACCGAAACTGTAGCTTTTCAGTTTCGTCGGTAGATGACGCCACCATCGTATGAAAATCAAAATTGGTTTTCCTCACAATGCCATCTCTTGATAACTGGTATTGTTTCGGCGCGCTGTAATTGAATTGATCTAAAGCTGTGTTTGCTAAATTTAGCGCCAGTGTAACGATTTAAAATCCTCTTACCTCAGATTCCTATAGGGAGTCATAATTATGATGTGAGAATACTTATTTCAGAATGTAGATTAGACATGTTACTGAATATTTGTACAATTAATCACTCTTGACTGACCATCTGTCTCTGCTTTTTGATTCTGCATTTTTTACGGAAATGAAATAATTTTTCTTATGCTGGAGATTATTTATCTATGTAATTGCTGTGATTTGTGGATATTACAATAATTTTGTGTATAGTGCATAACCTTATTTATAGATGATGATTATGAAAAATGGGGAAGGGATGTAATTTTTAAGGGCATCTTTTTTAGCTAGGTTGTAATGCTTGCATAATGATTTTAAATAAATTGATTATATTGTCCCTCCCCCCCCCCCGTGTTTGTTACATGGCTTGTTTTTATTTGCAAAGCCTATAAAATTTTGAAATTTTGAGTAGTATTAATTGCAGTCTGTTTTCAAGATGGAGTTAACTGTCCGCAATATTATTTTTCCTATAATTTAAGTAATAGGTGTTTATTATTTTTAATGTGAAATAATTGCCGTAAAAGTGATGTTTCATTTGCATAGTTTTATTTGTTTTAAGTAATTTAAAAAAAAATTTTTTTAAATCATATTATCTGCAAAAAGAGAGTGTGATGATTTTTGTTCTGTTAAGGAAGAATCTTGTTTAATATGATTAATTACTACATCAATTACTACCAAGTGAAATCTCATTTAATAAATGCAGTAAAAAATAATAATAGTAAGTAATCCATCAGTTAAGAGTAAATATAAGGGGGAGAGAATCGGCTCACCAGCATCTGAGTAGTAAAGTTGCTGAACACTGGTAGTTTGGTCCAAAGTTTGAATCCTGCAAACAGGCTGACTGCATTAGCATTTTCCCCTTGTATATTGTATATACAAGCCAGTTTCCCTTAGAACATCCATGGAGGCATCCCTTCTCCTTAGGCAGATAGCCCTCGAGGCTTTGCTGTAATCGCCTAAACCAAACCAAATTAAATCATTGCTTAAACCTTAAAGTAATAAAAACTTGTTTGCTTCATTTACATACAGGTCAATTAATAATTGCTTTTTTTCCTTTTCGTTTCATATTGTATAGAAACTTCACATTAATCTCATCACATAACAGCCATTTTACGGTGTATAGCGCAAAATAAGCAATGCACTCCCTAACTGACATACAACGCGGAAATAAGCCCTTCAGAATATTTTCCCATCAGTCAAATTCACCGCAATCATGCAACCAATCACATAATAGGGTTTCCATAACATTGTACTACTCAGAACAACAATTTGATGATAATCCAAGGGGTACCCTAAAATATAGACTAACCAAATTTTAAACTCGGCATCTCGCAATTCACCTGATTGTATGTTTTCCAGCCATCGTTATAAATAAGGCTTCCTTTTGTGATTATTTTCTTTTATGACATTCAGTCAAGTTTTTAACATTTATTTGAATCTCTACATGATCCACCGACTGTGGAGGAAGAACATGTTCAGCATTAGACTTTTGTCAATTTCAGTAACCTTGTCCCATCAATCAATTTTCAGCTTAGGATGAACAATTAAAGGCTGTGGCATACACCTCACACATATAACTTTTCCAATATAATTATTTATTCATTTTAGTTTTTAATCCTTTCTTCTCATTACAGGATTTTTTTCTTCAAAGCCATTTGGTTGGTGAGTTATCGATCAGTGGCCTCTGAATGTGATTTCAGACAAAATTAAATATCGTGTTTTTTCAAAAATAATAGTGCTTCTAAACATAAATGCAATGACTGAAAAAGAAAAAAAAAAGAAAGGTACTTTTCCATTTTGCCTGCGCAAGCGATAAAGTCGCCAATAATGGTACAACCGATGCCAAACGGAATATTCTCGCTGGTAACCTGTTATGCCTCATTTTCAAAACAAGTTGCAGCCATTTCTTATCAGATTGATGTTTCTTTCAATACTGGCATACAATTACATAGAATTTTTATCAGATAGTTCATTTTTATGTCTAAGGCCATTTTCGGTAATTGAGTCAATTGGATGTAATCACAGTGCTTACCCGAAGCTGAAAATATAGAAAGTAAAAGAAGGTTAAATTCATCCATCTAATGAGAATGTATAGCGACGTAAGCACTGAGTTTTACGTAGTTTATGAGTAAGCTATTCATACGAATTGAAATATTTCTTGCATTTAAACTTTGTTCCAAATTAAGATTTAACTTGAAAGTAATGAGAAATTACTGGAGCATTAGATTTTGAGAGTAGTTTACATGAGATGAGACGCTTGGGGTCACGTGATGAACCGCGAATCAGGATGTTGAACAATGAAAGCATAGAAATTCTTAATGTCTTTTTACAAATTTATTGTCTTATTTATTGCTTTTATAAAATTTGAGCGATATTAAATGTTTATGCCTTCAAAAAAAAAAAAAAATTCTAGAATTAACATTTTTTAATATTTTTTATGTGTAACTGTATGTTGTCGCCAATAAGTCCTTGGCGAGATTTGCGTGGCGAAACAAAAGTACCAAAACAAATTTCATAATTTTTGCAAATTTTTTTTTTTTGGTACTTACGTATTATCGCCCCAGGCCAAAATTCACATAAATAGGAATTTGGCGACCCTACTTACGGCACCTACGTGTAGTTTGTAAAGAGCATGTGGAGATTCACAAAATTTTATTTTTTGTGCAAATTTTTGTAATTATGAGAAAATAGCATGTACATGGATAAAGTCAAGAGTGTGGCACAATGCCATTTTTGTACATTCTGATGTTTTTTTAAGTAAAAATAAGTCGACGTGTACATGGTTATGGCGAATACGGTTTCATCGTGCTAAAAGCAATAGCCAAATGATTTCTGCCAAAAAATAATTCTGCACTTATTCAATTCGAAACCGGAAGGGTTATTCTATTTTATATTTTAAAAAAATAATATAAAAACTGTATTAAAAATTATCTGTAATTAATAAATGTACATTTCTTTCTATTCTACTTTTTTACTCAAACTTACAAATAGTGCCAACCTGGTTGTGATAATCGTAAGTAGGTACCTTTTTTTTTTTTTTTTTTTTGGTGCTGTCGGTTTAGAGAGGGCCGTAAAAAATCTCCAAACTATGTTGATGTCAATCTGCTAAAAAAATTGCGGCAAGAAGGAAGTTAATAAATAGTAAATAACTCTCAAGATTGATGATAAAGGTTAATTCATATAATACTTTTTTATTATTATAATTATATGAAAAGGCTACATGACTGAATGGAAGCATAGAGTAAATAAAATTTCAGATCATTCTTATAATTTATATAAAAAATTGGTAAAATAACTGGATGGATGCGTGCATCGCTATTTGCTACCGACTTATCGCTAAAGCATAATTTCATCTCGTTGGTGTTCAAACATAATTTTCTATAATGAATGATGCCTTTTCTTTGAAATATTCTCGTTAAAGGCAGAATCACTCACTATTTGTTTGCCGCCTTTTACAAGGGTAAAAACAATGAATTTTTGTCAATTTTTTTACTTTTTAAGTGAAAATAGGTCGATGTGTACATAGATAAAGTCAAGGGTGTGCGTAGTGCCATTTTTGTGCAATTCTAGGATTTTTAGTGATCCTAGAATTGCAGTATTAGAATTGCAGATCCTAGAATTGCAGATCCTAGAATTAAAGTGAAAATAGGTCAATGTGCACATGGATACCGAGTATGTGCAATTCTTAAAAATGCGTCAAGCAGTGGGTGATTCTGCACTTTACCCAAAATTGTATTGCCGACTTTTCGTCATGGGCAATTCCCAAATTGTTAAATCCATAGGATATCAAAAAAGGATTTAAAATCAAAAAATTATTTAAAAATTAATCTAGTATATCCATGGCGTCTTAAGAAATACAGAACTATATAAACTTACGCAATCTGAAATCAACGCATACGCTAGATTTGGTGCGCTGTTAATTGGGTGCGTTAGCTAGATTTGACGCTTTTGCACATACATTTTTGCTGCAATTTTTTTACGGCCCTCAAAACCGAATAGTACCTTTTTTTTTTTTTTTTTCTTAAATTTAAATTTGCCATAATATAAATATTGGCATTTTTTAAAACATTTGGTACTTTTCCGTTTTGCCGGTGCAGGCGATAAAGTTGCCAATAATGGTACAACTGATGTCAAATGTAATATCTTCGCAGGTAACCTTTTACGCCTCATCTTCAAAACAAGTCACAGCCATTTCTAATCAGATTGATTGTTACTTTCAAGTAATACAATTACATAGAATTTTTAGATAGTTCAATTTTATGCCCTAGGGCCATTCGCGGTAATTAAGTCGATTAGGATATGCAATCACACCACTCACCCAAAGGCGAAAATATAGAAAAGGCAAAGTCAAGGTTAATTCATCAGTTCTAATGAGAAAGCACTAGCGAAGTACAGCACTGCGGTTTTACATAATTTCTGAGTAATCTATTCATACGAATTGAAATAATTCTTGCATTTAAACTTGTGTTCCAAATTAAAATTTAACTTGAAATTAATGTAGATAATTAGCATAGTTTACGTGAGATGAGATCACACTTGGTGTCACGTGATATGAACTAGCAAATCAGGGTGTTGAATCATGAAAGCATAGTAAATTCTTAAATTAATGTCTTTTTACAAATTTATTATCTTTATTTATTGGCTTTTTACAAAATTTTAAACGATGTTAAAATATTCATGCCTTCAAAGTTAAAATTTCTTAAAACTTATATATGTTATATATTGTGATATATATATTGAATCTTTTTTCGGTTTTTGATCTCGAATGAACCAGAACGAAACATGTTTTCAAAACGTATTAGTCAACTTTTATGAAGCTTTAATTCATTTCCCCCTGATGAGTTCTGAATTGGAGTTTTGGTAAAAGGAGATTCATTTTTATTTTTATAATTTTGTATATTTTCCTTTCGCATTTATATTTTAAGTTTGTACAATGAATTCTTATTTTGATTTTGATTTGTTTAGATATAGCATTAAACCTCTTATTCACAGTTGCAATTATTAATATTGTTGAGGAATTGCCTTGCTCTGATACCAATTTAATATTAACTTTAGATGCTTTATTTATATATATATATAGTATCACATATTTTGGGGTGAACTGTTATAATTAAATAATTTAGAATGGCTCGGTTCCTCATCTGATTTTAAATATTAGAAATGCAGTTATTTTCAAAGGGGAAGGAGGTTCAATTGAATGTGATGTACCTCTTCTTGATAATGGTATATCAGATTTGATTGCATTCCTCTTCCTATATATTTATTCTTGGGGAGTTTTAGTATTTCACATTTCTTTAATTCTTCTGACTTTTGGTTATTTTTACATATTTATAAGGAAATTTGAAATTTAATGGTACTGAATTTCACTTCTTTTCAGTCTTTGGGAAATTGGTTCTAAATTTCTTTCCCCGCATTGGTTTGAATCCTGTCGACTCAATTATGATAAAAGCAAAATTTAGAAGTACTGAGGTGAGATCACTGATATATAGAAACACATAAATAGTGATGGTGTAGATACTTAGATCGTAGAATTTGTAATGACTAAGAAATTTGGCAGTTGAGGCGGTTTTAATTCCATTTTCATTTATATTCAAATTTATAGCCACAGTTCGCTTGGCATTCTAATCGTGCATATTTTCAGAACATTTTGCACCTTTTAATACTATTGTGATAAGAAGAGAATGCAGCAAAATGAAGTGGTGTCCAAACAGCAACAGAGATATAAGCAAAGCAAGCATTTATCCAATATGACAGCTCGCCAAAGAGGAAGGTTTTTGGTTTATGTTAGAAAGGTTTCAGTTCTCAGAGTTTAAAAACTACTGAAATAACTACCTCATCAGTGTTACGCAAGCTTTGTGGCATAGATTAATGTAGAAATTATGCAGTCCAAAAATGTTGTTATCATTTTTAGAATAAAGAGGAAATAAGTAAATTAAGAAAGAGCAGTTAAAAAGCTATTGCTAAATTAAATTATAAAGCTAATTTACATATTTTTATCTTACATATATATATATCAGGGGCACCATCTTAGTGCATGTGCCTACAAATTCGAAATATCAAGAAAAGGAATTATTATTTCTTAACTCAATCAAATAATAAAGTCCTTAAAAATTACTTATACAACTTTGCACTGAATAATCGATTTTATTTATAATCAGAAATTTAAAACAAAATGAACTGCATGCTGTCGTGTCTTCTTTAATTTTGCCTCTGCATGTTGTATGAATACCAGCATCATTAACGAAGTAATGTATTTTACAAGTATAGAGGGAAAAACCTTTTCTCTCTTTTTTTTTTTTTTCCCTCCTGCAGCGTGAAAGGGTATTTGAATTTTCCCTAAATGCATGCGGTACTTTATCGCATCAGGTGGAAGAAATGTATGTTCATTATTTAGCACTGACTTTGGTACAATTACTACACAAATACAAGTATTCTGCTTCTAAGTTTGACATTATACTACATTTAGTTTAAAGTTGGCCCTTTTTTTTTTTTTTTATTTCTTGGCTTCTTTCAAAGTTCTGTATGATAACGCAGCGGTCTCAAATTTCTGGCCCTCAAATACAATTCCTCTTAATTGACAATATTCTGAGAAAAATTGGAAGAAAAAGATTTTTAATGGTTTGGAGTTCAATTTTATGTTATTTTCAGTACCAAAAATGAAAGTAACTCTCTGGAAAATCTAGAAATAGAGCTAATTAATTGACATTCTGATACAAATCTTATAATACAAGATTTAAGATCCAAATTACTTTTGTTGTTATTTGTCGAAAGTTAAATATTCTCAGTTTCAAATGTTTGCAATAAAAATAATCGTTTTGTTTTGGAGTACAATTACATTTGAACATTTTTTTTCATGGTTGAAAATTAATAAATGTACGAAAAGAACCAGGCTGCTAATGAGTATTTACAGTTTGGGATGCAAATACTGTGTAGTAATTTTCCTTCAAAATTTCAAACTTTACAATATTGAAATGCCATGAGGGGTTGTAGCTGATAGGTATAGTAAGAAACAAAGAAGTTTTTAATTGTTTATGTACAAGTATTATTTTTTCTGCCATTGAAAAATCTAATGAACTAAAGAAAGAGAATGGATTTATTATCTATTCTCAAGTTTTGTCCCTCTCAGAAAGTTTTCCTGTATTTCATTTTAGTTAAAAGTAAATTATTTATCAGTAACTTCAGTATTAATTCAATTATTTGAAAAAAAAATGTCAATTTGAAAATCTGATTATTTTGCTGTCAGTGAGTTTGAATTAGAAATTGTGACAGAAAGAAATTTCTTGTAACAATTTTTAGATTTCAGGCAGGAAATAAGTATAAATTTGAATTTTTTTTTGCATTATTTTTTTATATGTGTTTTGAAAAATAGGTTGTAAAAAATTTTTAAATTTAGCTAACAAATTTTGTTTTGTTTAAAAAAAAAAAAAAAAACTTTTCATTTCTTTTTCTTTCTTTATTAGTATTTCTTTTTTGTGGCCCGTCTGCTATTTCAAGATTGTGAATTTAACCCACATGCAGTTTTAGTTTGAGACCACTCTGAGATTTGGATCCACTTCTAAAAAATAAAAATTACTTAAAGATGATAAGAGAGTGTAAAGAGAGTGTGCATATAAAACTCAAAACACTGAGGCATGCTCAAACTGTAGGTAATAATAAACTTGTACATAAATTTATATCATGTTATAAATACTAACAATATTCATAGCATGATGAGTGAAATTTATAAGATTGAGTAACTGATTTTGCTAGTGTCATTATTAACTGTACCACTGTTCAGATTTTATCAATGTTTACTGTAAAGTTTTATCAATAATTAATATAATTCATTTGCAGATTATACGTAGAAATATAATATAGTGCAATTTGCATAAATGAAGCAAAATAGAATTATGATGCAAACTTTACCTGAAAAATTTGCATTCCATTCAGACCTTAAATCTGAGGAATTAAAAATTTTTATTATAACATTTAATTATTTTTCATATTATTCAATGTTTAACAACATTTTAATATGCAGATACTATATTCAACTTCAAATACATGCAATTCTAATATTCATTTATTAATATAGTTTTTGAAATATTTGGTGTCCAGCAGCACACACAACCTTTATGAAAATTCAGGATTGGCCCTGATAATGTATGTACGTATTCTATTTTAGATTGCAACATTATATGCTCGTAACATCCCTGGTTGCATACAAGAGGAGCAATTAAGCAATTTATTTTCGTTAAATGGTACTCTTACCATTAAGAAAGTTAAGAAACTGAATGACTTTGCCTTTATACATTTTTATACAAGATGTGATGCTGAAATAGCTTTGGAGAGAATAAATGGTAAGTAAAATTTAGTAACACGGTTTTTGTAACAGTCCCTCTCAGCTGTTTTCTCAGCCTCTAGATATTATTGCTTAATATATATTGTTATGGATGCATATATTTTTTTTTACTTCCCAGAGGTAAGGGAGGTGCTTTTACGATGCTGTGTGTCTGTATGTGTGTGATGATTTTTTTTGTCCACGATAACTCTGAAATCAAGTTTAAAAAAAAATAATAATTCCAGTTCTCATATTTAAGCTTTCTGCATTTATATAAAGAGCTAGATTTGGGGTAAAATTGGAGAACTGGTAATGGTGTTGTACTTGAAACCCCTATAAGCTGGACTTTGAGCCTATGAAACACATGAATTAGGCATGAAGTAAGCATGAATTAAGATCCTTCACAACATTTTTACAGTGGTGTGTCTGTATGTGTAGGATAATTGTGTCCATGATAACTGTGAAATCAAGTTTTTTTCCTAAATAGTCCCATTTCTCATATGTAAGCTTTCTGCATTCATATAAAGAGTTAGATTTTGGGGTAAAATTGAACTGTTACATGAAAACACAAGGAAGTGGTACTTCACTTGTTACATTGGCAGGACTTTGAGCCCAAGTAATGCTTATGAACTTGACGACTCCACTGAAGCAGACCAGGGTACTCACTATTTTTATCTCTTGCCAACATTGGTTAGAGAGGTTATGTTTTCGGTTCAAAAATTCGATAGTAAATTATCAGTGAATAAACGGAAATTAAGGTCACTACAATACATTTTCTGTATTTTTATAGTGATATCTGTCTGCCTGCATTTATGTGTGTTCCATGATTTTTCGCCCATGATAACTGTTACATGAAATTTTTGAAAATTTCTGTTTCCATATTTAAAGTTTTCTACATTTATATAAAGAGTTGACTAGATTTTGGGTAAAATTGTATTACTGGAAGTGGTACTTTATATGAAGCTGTAATGGTCTTTAACCCTTACAAGATGTTGAGCCTTTGTTTAAGGCTTTCCTTCATGACAGATGAGAGTCAAAAGGAATTGTGTCACAGGACAGGGGTTTTGCATTGCTAAACCTAACTTTACACACACACACACCAAAAAAACTCCTAAGTCTTAATTTTCAGTACTATTTTAGATTATTACTTAAGTTATCATGTATGTTAAAATTAACATTTAATAATCTTTCTCCTTTGCTTTACATAAAAATATATTTAAAAATTGCTTACATTGAGGAATAAATTTTTGAAGTGCTATTCAAATTATTCTGAAGTTTCCATTGTTAAAATGCATAATGCATTAATAAACTTTAAAATTAGAATACAAGAAAAAACACAAGAAAGAGTATTTTATTTGCAAGAAAAAATAAATTTGTTCACGGGAAGTGGAAGGTAGTCTTTCTGTGAGCTGAGTCTCTGACAAAATGTCCATATCAGAATCCCTAAAAATATTATTCTCTTAACTCTTTAGATAATGAGTCATCACTTTTATCCATGTCACCGCTTGGCTCATTTACCATGCAGGTATATCCTTCTGATGAAAAAATAACGCTTGCTCTCCATAATAAACTAAGTCGAGGCTTTCCGAAATAAAAGGGGAAGTACTCGAAATGTAAGAGAGAAAAACAGTGCAAAGCCTAACAGAACCCATAGTAACCCTAAGAGACATTATCTAGTAGTTTGGGGGGATTCGATGTGAATGTTTTATGTCACATGCAAGTTAAAGGACAGAACTCTGTTTACATTACGTTTTCCCTCCTTTTCCACAACGGCTTATGTTACACAGAATGTGATCAAATTGCATTAAATATATTTTTGGAATTATGCTAAATGTAATGAAAATGAGCTAATTATGAAGATTTGTTCACGTAATGAAGCAGTTATATGTATTACCGTATTTGACGGCATATAAGACACACCCTTATTTAGACGGCCACACACAAGGAAAAAAGTATCAATAGTGTGATTTCTTTTAATTCTCACATTTCGTAAAAGTCAAATAAACAATTATTGAATGCAATTACCTTCACGTATAAGACGCAGGTAACTTTTCTTAGACCAAATTTAGGAAAAAAAGTGCGTCTTATATGCCGTCAAATACGGTAGATGCAATTATCAATTTTGTGTTCATTTCGCTTTTGTGTCAAATAACTTTTCAGCACTTTTTAAATAAAAGGATGCTGGCGCCAAATGTTATTGTTATGTATTATTTTTAAAGAAATAATATAGCAAATAAATAACTAAAAAAACTGTTTGGCAACCATTAACCCTCTACTGAGATTTCTAAATATATGCCGATTTTTAAATTTTTTTTATTTTGTTAAATTTTATCTGTAATAAGTGCAAAGAAAGCGATGTGCAATAACTAAAACTAAAAGGACCAATAAAAAGTGGCTCATTCATTGTACAGCGTGTTTCAAAAGAATATACTTATTTCAAATGCATATATTTATTAAACTGTAAACTGTATGACATACGAATATGAAACTTTACACATATATGTACGAACCTCTTAAGTTCAGATTACAGATGTTCAATATGTTCTCCATCAGCGACACAAACAATATCACATTGATACTCAAATTCCTCTCATACTCGGGCAAGCATGTCCGTTGTCACTGATTTTATGACAATACGGATCCAGTTCTTCACCTCTCCAGGTTCTGTGGGAGTGGTGGTACATAAATGTTCTCTTTAATGAAACCCCACAGGAAGAAGCCACAGGGTGTCAAATTCTGTGACTGTGGAGGCCAGCTGAGACATGCTAAGTCGCCAGCGCCTTGACAACCAATCCAAAGGTTTGGTGGAGTTTCATTCAGATAATCACGCACTTGATGACACCAGTGTGGGGTGCCCCGTTTTGTTGAAAAATGAAGTTGTTTTTGTGCAGCCTCGGAAACAACCAGTTTTGTAACGAGATACTGCTGACCATTAACCATGTTTCCATCAAAGAAGAATGGGATGATGATAAACAGATGATCGGGATATCTCACAAACACATTGATTTTGGGCAAATCTCAAGCATGTTCAGTGGCTGCAAGTGGGTTCTGTAGGCCCCAAATTCGAACATTGTTTGTTTACATGACCACTAATATGAAAAGTCGCTTCATCACTGAACCCGATGCATTGTGCGAAAGTGTTATCATTGTCAATAGCATCAATAATCTTGTTACAAAATGCCACATGTTTGCGTTTGTCATCAGGACGCAGAGCCTGTAACAAATGTAACTTTAACAAATGTAACTTGTACGGCTTCATAACCAACCAACGTCTCAAAACACGCCAATTTGTTATTGTAGGCAGTTGTAACCTCTGACTGACACGATGAGTTGATTTTGAAGGACTACTTTGGAAAGCAGTTTGAATTTGTGGATCATTTTATCAGGAACAGAGGGTAGCCAGGATTCTTTCCTTTGCATACACATCCTGTATTTACAAACTGTGTATTTTACACCCATTCGGAGGATCACTTTGGTACCTCAACTTGAAACATCTTTGCATTGTAATCACGGAATTACACTTCGCAAACTTGAGAACACAAAATGATTTCAGCTGCAGCGTAGCCATTTTAAACGTGTGACAGTTACCACGCAAAACAGGAGACAACTGATATCTAGCTGCTATTAATGTAAGCTAGACTATGTATTCGTTTCACCAATAGCCGAGCGAGGCACAGTGATCAATAGTTTGGACAAAATAACTCTTTATAACATGTATATTCTTTTTGAAACACGGTGTATTAAGAAAAATGAACACTAATGTCAAAAGCTGAGAAAAGAATGAAAAAGAAATGTATTGTAACATTTCTTTTTAGGCACTCTATGAGGAATTCTAAAGATACGATGCTTTTAATATTTTTTAAAGTTGCTGTTTTCTTAATCTGAAGCTCTGTGTGACCAGAGGCCATTATTTACATGAAATAAGCAAGAAGTTGTGTGTAGGTCATGTCAGACTTTTAATGCTCTGCGAATTATTGGAAATTAGCAGACTATTAGCAGATTATGTAACAATTTCTATGTAAATAAACATATATTTTAGTGCTTGAGAATGTTTCTTAAAATTCTATCCATAAAATGAAGCAAATTCCTCAAATATCTGCTTTTAAAAAATTTGTTTCAGCAAAAAATTTAACTTTAGTGGATTATCTCATTGTTATTGAAATGTAGAAAATGTTAAGAATGCATTGAAAATTGAAATAAAAATTTATAAACTGCTTTATTATAAAAAAAATATGTAAAACATAATACTTCTTTTAATATAAAAGCTGGATAACTGTGTTTTAATTATTTAAAGGTTTCTCTTGCTTTTTGAATGAAGCTAAGAAAAATCAGAAAACATAATTTTGTTGGAGAGAGGTGCTTCTAATATTTTAATTTTTGGAAATTTCACAAAAGTTAACATTTTTAAGGTTTCTAGTTCAATTGACCCATTAATGTACAGGTTTGCAATGCGCAATTTAAAAAAAATGGATTCACCAATGGATGCATCTGGGTTTGGCAGATGCCCGGCAAATGCTCTTTAAGTGACTGCATTGTTTTGACTGGAAAGTTTGGTGGTGGCAGCATCATGGTGTGGGGGTATTTTTAATAGTTTGATCTGGCTCCCTTAGTGTCTGTGGTTGGAAACATATACTCTGAGATATATGTGAACATTCTGGACAATGCTGCTGTGCTTACTCTATGCCAGTATTTCAAGGAAAGCCCATTTCTCTTCCAGCAGGATAACTTCTGCTTTCACATTTCAAGACATGGTTTGATGAAATGGATGTTCAAAAACTGGACTGCTGTTCTCAGAGCTCTGATCTAAATCCTATAGAACACCTTTGGGCTGAATTAGAATGCAGATTGCGTAGCCAACTAAATCGACCTTACTCACTGCCAGCACTCACTTCAGCTGCGAAGAATGCCTGGAAGTCAACTCCTATGGACCACATATCATAAACTGGTGATAGTCTTCCCAGATGTGTGCAGGCTTTCAGCGATGCATAAAGGGGACCAACATCATATTAATAATGACTCAGGACTCTCCTGAGTCTGTGGCACTGGTGTTCAGATACTTTTGGTCAGATACTATATTTATGAAATGCAGTAAATGGCAATGTCTTGAAGTAGTTTGTGCTGTTCAGAGACTACAAAGATAAAGATTTAAAGGCCATCATAAGGTTTCTGTGCAGTGTCTATCAACAGGGATGTATGCTGTGTCAGAAATATGTACATGTGGACAGTTAAAAGTCACAGGTACCTGGCATGCTGTTGTCTGTGTTTGTTATTCTAAACACAACAAATCACTCATGGCATGTCAGTTGACTGAAAATGTCACAGCTACAGTTAGACGAGCTGTCTCTTGACGAAACTTTTCAAACGCTGGCTGCATGGAAGTCATTTGTATGAAAAATGATCAACTGTTAGAGTCCTGCTAATAGCTTCACATCTGAGAGCTTGGTTAAACAAGGTTTGAAATCACCAAAGTTTGCCTTCACAACAGTGGGACTATGCACTTTCTACAAATGACCTCCAGTTTGGTATATGATTCAGGGTAGATGTTGATTTTGCAGAGCATCTAATAGTGAATATACAAGCTTATAACATCCATAAAAGGCTAAGGTAGCAGTTGTATGTGAGCAGTAATTTCTGTTAGCAGCAACATGGATCATATTTCTTCCCTGGCAGTTTAGTGACATTATTGCATAATTCTTTATTACTTATCCTTGAGCAGTTAACGCTTGTATCCTACGATTTGAAACTCTGGGTTTTGAGGAATACAGTAAAAGTCCAGAAATCCGCAAAGCTTGTGCGGATTTTAGGATTTTGTGGACTTCAGGACAGAAAAGATAAATCAAGATATTCAGACTAAAACTGCAAAATAAATAAGGCGTATTAGATACATTTAATTAAATTATTATATGCATTATTGCAATAACTTATTATATGTGTTAAATTATTATTACATATATAAATTTATTAAATTATTCATTGTACAGTCAAAAGTCGTTAATCCGGACTTGTCAGGACTTCGGCGATTCCAAATTATCGATTTTTCCGGATTATAGATCATCAGTTTAAATCTGGTAAGATGTCATGCAGAAATTATAAAATTAAAAATATGAAACAATTTATGAAATAAAGAGCAGTTATGATCTAAAGGGTATCAAAATTTACAAAAAAAAAAGCTTAATATTTATTTGTTTACTTTATTAAACTAATGATGAGGAATTTGATTTAAATCATATCAAAGACGGAGTACATCCAGATGAAATTACTACATTTAGTAAGGAATTATAAGCCAAAATAAAATAAAAACATCTGCCCTGAAGATAAGGATAGTGCTGACAGATCAACTTCCAATTCATTGCACACTGCCGCGTCCCCCCCCCGTGAAATTGATAAACAGATTTCGGAATGGTTAGATAAACAAAGGATATGCCTTTATCCATTTTTTGCAGCAATTCCACTTTTTGTTTAATGGAATTCGAAACATACTTTCGCTTTGTAGGTCCTTTACATATTAGTAAATATATATCAGAAATTCTATTTGACATAATCGAAAGTTGAAGCTTACTTTTATAAAATTGCTCTAACAGTCTGCAAAAAATAATAAGCTGGATCCAATTCGAAGATTAAGGAACAACGCAATCTGCAACATTAACTGAATTAGATAATTTTAGCTTAGCTTATACTGTCCGTTATACAAACACATATTCGCAAACGTATTTTGCGCATGCGCACACGCATATTCGCAACCATAAAGGTCTTGCATGCATGCATCAATGCGACACATGCGCAGAAAGTTTGTAGCTTTGAGATCCGGATTATAGATCATTCCGGATTATGGGTGTCCGAATTAACGACTTTTGACTGTATTATATATATATGCAGAGCATCGAGGTTTGCCGATTTCGCCTCGTGCAAAGATTTTCAGTTTCGGATTCCGGTGTTAGAATCACTGTTGCTGTAAAATTTCAACAGCTTTTCTTTACTTTTCCCTATATCATACACAATGGTTCTGCTATAAAATGTACCTATCTCCATCTTTTGCAGAATTTGCACTTTTTGCATTACCATCAATGCAACGTATTTACGTTTTTCAGCGTTGCAAGCAATAAAATCAAGAGTGTGTTTCTTATCTGTAATTGTATTAAAAAGGGCTGAAATATAAAATATTCTTAATTTATCCACAAAATGTCCGGATATAAAAAAGGCAGTACTAAATAATCTCGTGAAATAACAAAGCTCAGAAAATACAACGTGAATCGTGAACTTGAAAGAAGAGTTGAGTGAATCGTCTGCTTTCTTACCTCGATGCAGATTAGAAGGGAAAAAACTTTTATAATGATGTCAATAATTTGGTATTTCCGTTATGACTCATTATTATTCGGTAATTATGACATCATTTCGATATTTCATACTTAATGGTGCGGTTTTCGGAACCTATAAACTGAATGTTATATTTTGAGAGGCAACACAAATTTCAGGAGTTGGCAGATTTTTGCTATTTGACTGTACTGACTTTAACCCCGTTGAGCTTATGTGGGTAATCCTTAGTTAATGGCTAACAACTTTCTATATCACTTTTTGTAACTTAAAATGAGTTGCAAACATATACCTTACATGAATGAATACTGAACCTGAAAATGTCCATTGATGATGATATTGGGAGCCATGATCTAGTGTTATTTGGTCTGTATTTCTGGCAGATCATCCTGAATTGTAATAACTGTCAGTAGATTAACTAACACAATTTTTTGTGTGTCAGTATGCTGTGATATTTAAGTATTTATTGCTCATTTTCTTTCTGATTACATACATAGATAGATGCTTCATGTTAAGTCTAATATCCTATGAATACACCATTTAGTTTGATTAAAAATTTAATTTTTTGCAAACATTTATTTTTTTAGCAGCATAGAAGTAAGTATGCAGTAACTTTATATCAACTTTTTTATATGTTTTAGTTAAGTGTTTATAATATTTTTGTATAATCTACTTTTTTTTTTTTTTTTTTTTTTGTATTAGGTGTTAATTTAGCTGGGTGTATTATTGAAGTGACTTGGGCTAAACCTGTGTTACAGAACAATAAAAAGCGTAAAAGTGAAAGTGTTGTACATTTGAAGTAAGATGTTTCATTCATATTTTATCAATATTATATACATAGGTGAGTGAAACAAAAGTCTTAAATATTATTTACTCATAATTTATTGAACGCAGAAGTGTTACTCTAAGTAACAGCAGTTTATGTGGAGTCTGTGTTCCATAAGTATTTGAGAGCTTTAGACATGCATAATGCATTCTAGGAGGGAATGTTTACTAGTTGGAAGTTCAGTTACTTATATACTTCCTGTTTCACACCTTCACTGAATCTGAAAAACTTACTATCTTGAAGGGACCGTCTGTCTTGTAAGAAGATTTAAACATGAGTGGAGGATCAAGATAGTGAATATGATGGTTGTAGAAAGCATTTTAACCCTTTGCAACACGGTGTGCCCTGTCTGGGCACACTTGAATATTTCCTTCTGTGTGCACAGAAAAATTGAATGAAAAAGGGATTTGATAGGTTACTCTGAACCCTCTTTATTTTTGGTAGATGGCAGCTCATCACAAAGCAGTCCACATATTTTAGTCATGTTTAGTTTTTTTAAAGCCCTCATTTTTCAAAGAAATCTTCCAGATTTTTTTAGGGTATATAAGGAATGGTTTGAAAGGTAATTTCTATGTTATTTTTTGGCTGTATGCTAATCTTCTTATTTTATATTAGTTTTAAATTTTTACCCTGAAATCTTGCCTAAAATCGAACAGCGAACCGAGGTGTTCCCAGACTGGGCTCAATGCAAATCTAGGTCACTGAGAGGCAGCTGTATCTTTGTTTCTCTGCAGCTCATCAGTCATCTCATTAACATAGAAAGGTGGGTCCACATCTGTCTTTCATTTCTTGTTTTTCTCTTTCTTCTTTTCCCCTCTATTTTGTTTTTTGGAAGGGGAGGTTTGGTTATCAACTAAGAAATTGTTGGGGTGATTTTCTGAAGGTCGGGGATAATTTTATCAGTTAACTGTTTGGTTTTTCACTAGAGCAGTTCTCTTTTTCTCTTTCGATTTGGTTCAAAGAAGTTTTCTTAGCACTATGTTTAACCCTTTGATGCACACGATATTATTTTTATAATTTTTTAAACTAAAAACTCTAGAAATTGAATATTACGATCCGAGAGACAAATAATATATGAATTTAAAAAAACTGCTCTTGCCCGTTGTTCTGTGGGTGGTGGTCACACTGTGAAACCATCGCACGTCTAGGACTTTGAAACTTATCTAGGTTGTAGGGGGGAAAAAAAAATTACCTTTCTCCGTGTGCGTTTCCAATAAATGACGAAATTTACGGATTTAAAAAAATGTATGTAAGAATTGCATTATATATAATTTTTTTACATTATTTTACAAAGTAAATCGTCAGAAAAAATTAAAAAATAAACATTTATGTAATTTTTCTATAGCAGCGAAAATATAAGTACCTACATAATAAGGACATTTGGATAAATGGATTAAAAAACTCAATAAAATAAGGATAAAAAAGAACTCAGTTTTTTTTTTTTTTTAATAATTTCAAAGAACAAATTTTTTTTGTCACACTGTTCAAAGCATGTTTTGTCTCTTTGGTATATGCATAGACCCACATTGCACGTTTCGCACATACATCTTGTTCTGTGAGGTTTCTTCCTTGTGCTACAAAATGCGCACTGCCTGGATTTAAATTTCACTGGATTTGAAATATAAAATATTCTTAATATTTTACTTATTATTACACAAAAACCATGATCTAAATCTAAACTCCTCTGACAGCCACATACTTTACCAGAAAACATTTGACTGCAAATCCATGCAAGTACTGTCAGAAACGCCCTTCTTCATCCAAGTTCTCATTTGAGTTAGCAGCTCCGCATTTTGGACTCCGTTTTAAAAGTTCCCCAGAAATTCCAAAAATATACTTCGATCCTCATAAACACACCCATAAACAAAAGACTCGTAAGAACTCCAACATTGTACCTTTTAATACTAAATTTACTTTCCACACAATCTAAAATACGCGACTGAAATCTTGCCTTCCCGTCTGTCATTGCAACATAGGCCATTTCAAAACATGCACGACACGAACCAATGAGCAATTAAACCAATGCAGCAAAAGAGTTAAGTTTCAACGTCAAATGGGTTGCCATACAAACAACATTGTCCCCAAAACCACCGCAACCATTCCAGAAACCAGCGCAGAACATATATTGCCACATTTGGTGATCTTAGGACGAATATAAGAGTAGAGCCAAAGAAATTAATCCAATAAAAATATTTAATATGGGACTTAAAAATTTTTTGACTTTCTCTACTGTTTGTTTTGTACTGAAAACTTGTTTGAGAAGTTAATAATAAAATAAGATGTCTTTTTTAACAGTACAATAAGAAAATGTATGTATTTTTTGGGGAGGGGCTCTTTTGAGTACACCATAAATAGATAAAAACCAAATTGTGCATAAATGTTTTATTAAGAAACTCATTGTAAATTTGAACATTTGACTGGGCAAATAAGCGGAAAAGTTTTTCAAGTCTGTTGAAAAATTTTGTTACCTGTTCTTATATTTAAACTTTAGAACTTAAAGAACTTTTCTTGAAACTGAAAATTTCATCTTGGGAAAAATTTATAGTTCCTACCCCCCCTTTTTTGTGATGATGGTGGGGGAATGTGATGGGTCTTCAGTTGAAGTAAAAGATTCTTGTGTGAATAATTCACGTCATTTAATAATAACTCTAATTGTTTTCTAAATATTTTGAAAATGTTCAGCTAAATCTTCAGTAAAACATATGTAGGTTCTATCTTGCTGAGACCAAAGTTACCTAACACCAGCTAATTTTTATGAAACAAATTTTGCAGAAAGGATATTTTAACTGTTTTATGTTTAAGAACATTTTTGGCTGAAAATTAAAAGTTTCGTATTGAACTTGCTTTCTTAAATTGAAGTTTTTTATTTTACTAAGTACCATGAAAATATAATGAATAACATTGTGTTCATAAATATATTGTGTGTTTGCTCACAAATGTATCAGCTCATTAAACTACTGAAAAATAATCAGCCTAGAAATCGAGAATGCCTTCTTGAGAACAAGAATTCAATAACAGAATCATGGGTTCGCATCTACACGAAGCAAAGTGTTTTGTATTGTTCCGAAAGGCAAAAGTCATTATAATTTTCATGTAGACACCTTATTGAAGCATAAAACAGACACACAGACATAACAACAAAAATGTTTATTTCAAAACTTGGAACAAAAGGCACACATACACTCAGAGCCACATCGAGCAATCTGATTCTTATATATTCTAGAAGCTGACATCACTACCCCACCTTCAGTTAATTTTGGTTTGCAACATTTTCTCCCTGTTGAGACTTGGGGAGAGTCTCAAATTTATAACAAGTACAATTGAATAAACCCAATCTTTTAGGTGCTTTCACACACCTACCAGAAGAAGTCAATCTTTTCATTGTTACGTGGTTAGGAGACAAACTAGTCTTAACTTCAGAAGGTCCCTGAGAATTGAATGTCTCCTCTCCTATTATTTTCTTATTTTCAGTTAACGCTGTTCCAACCGCTAAAGCACGCGCTTTACATGAGCACGCGCGCGTCGAATTTTTTTACGACATCCGTTATTTTACCGTTTGGGCACGAAAAATGACAGAAATGAGTGAGTATTGATAATAAATTTTTTAAGAATTAAAATATTAATCTTATTATTGCAAAATACAAATGATATTGCATTCAAATATAAGTAAAAGCTCTTATGTTAATGAGATGGAAATGCAATGCAAAACTGAATTTGTCGTAAATTTCGTACATACGCGCGTGCTGGAAGGTTAACATTACAAAATTTGCTTAAATGATCTGCCCTTTTAAGACATAAGAAACATCAAAAAGACAAAACAAACACACTCTCACAGGCACATCGATCGAGGTGATTCTTATACATTCTAGAAGCTGATGTCACTATCCTAGCTTCAGTTCATTTCAGTTCACAACAGCCTAGTTTACTTCTGTTTTAATACTATATATTTGTTCACTGTTGGAATGAAAAGCTTTAGACATTTTGTTTAGATTCTCACTAATCAGCAAGCCACTTTATTTCAGGAAATTATCTTTATAGACAAAAGATGATGTTTATGCTGTCTTCTCATTTCTGATAACAATGTGTATCAATCTAGCAATGCAAACAATATTTTTCTAGTCTTCACCTTGTTAAATTACAAAGCCATGAAGATTCTCAATTACCTCTCCTCCTGTTGTTCAGTCATTAAACTTTTTGTAAAGTATAAAATGATCTCTACTACAACAGAAGTGAAATTACTAAATCTAAAAAAATAAAATGCCAGCAACTTTTCTTTCTTATATAATCTAATCTTAAATGCTAAATGCAGTCTATTTGTTCAAATTATGGTTATTATATAGTTCCAAGTTTGGTGACATCTTAAAGTAAAATATGAATGTGCAGTTATTTCTGTTTTGAGAAATAAGAGATGCATGTTTTTCTGAAGCAGTATTTTCAGTTTTTTCTTACACCTAAATATATTAGCTGTGCCATATTAAGTATATTACTTATTAGTATAATCTGAGATTTTATTCACATATACAAGACATTGTGCTTACTCTTCATTGTTATGAATGAAGAATTGGTAATTTGTTATAGCAGCCCACAATTATATTTGGCAATTTTAGATTTGTGCCAAGATTTCAAATTTCGCCAAACTCATGAAGTGTGTTTCACAACACAATAATAGCAATAATACTCACATGTCCTTTCCAAAGAATATTTTTAAGAATCCTAATCCTTATTATTTTATTGCATGTAATTCTCCCAGTCACCTACAGCACTTTCCCACGTATTAAGCTGTTTGTTACACTATTTTATGGATGTCAACTCCTTTGCCCAAAACTACATAAATGTAATAGCAAATGAACAGCATTCTGGAACCAGTAAACCAGTTTTCAACATGGGAGCCCTTCTCTTTTTGTGACTTTTAACATTGTGCCTCCAGATGTAAGTTCAAAACCTCATCAGAAATGAATAATATGCAGTACGAGCAAAAGTGCAATATGGTGCTAATATAAGATTACATGGTGAGGTATAAGAATACACAGCCATTGCTAATATGCGATCATGTGATGAAGTAGGTATAAACATATGTAGCCAGATTTTGACAAGGTATCTTGGTTGATTGGTGATTAAATCTCGGGGGGCCTCTACAATAGAAAAGTATGAAGAATTCTTAATAATTGGGTATGATGTGTTTTAGAAAAAATTTTTAGATTAAAAATGTGATGCTTAATTTATAATATATATATATATATATATATATAGTCATAATTTTTATACAATGCTTATTTTTGAACTAAAAGATATAGCTTTGAATTTAGAAAATTTGACGTAGAACTGGGTGTATGTTATGGTCTGAAGGTGTTAAGTACTTGGTAAAACAGTCTCATAAATTTCAAATATATTTTATGGTTTTCTGCATTTTATCATCATAAAAAGTATGATAAATGTGTTTATAATACTAACAGTTGGAGAATATCACAAGAATATAACACAGTGTATAAATATGTTATTTACTTTTTTCATCACACAGCGTATAAATATGTTATTTACTTTTTCATGAAACATTTGAAATTTAACAAACTTTATTATCTATGGCTTCTACTGAGCATTCTTGTAATTTATGTATTTATATGTTTTCATTTAACTCTTTTTCAGAGAAGCAATTTCAGGCAGTCTTGCTCAGTTACCCCACAATGAATTTATATCTGCTGGTGAATCTCATTTGGCTAAGAGTCCTATTCAGGTTTGTTTTCTCATGAATGTTATCAAATAAGATATTAAATATTTTGTGTTGTGTGTTCCTTATTATTATTATTATTATTATTATTTTGTATTTCCATTTGAAAAATTATGACGATATCAGAAGATTTGTGTTAGAATGTTTGTCCAGTGCTGTTTGAAAATTTCCCCTTTTAAGTAATACTGCAATAATAGTTAAATAATATTAATGCCATTTATATTAAATTGTTAAAATGTTATAATAAATCTGAAGTTCTGTTATTTTCCCCTGTTCGACTCTTAATGTGATAAAGTCTTAGGTTGATTATTGTTTCTCACTTCTCTTTTATTCTGTGCAAATTTTGTATTCTTATTGAAGAAACTTATAATTTATAGGTAGTAGTTTTTGCACTTGAAGGCTTCTATCCAAAGAACAAATTTGTGCCTTTTTTCCTAACATGTCAGTTTAGTATGATAAAAAAAAATTGGAAAAATGGTAAAAATGATGAATTATAAAAAATGAGGCAATAATAGTATTACATTAATAAATAGTGTTTAATTTCTATGGAAAGTATCATTTATGTAACACGAGTGGCAATATTGATGTCATAAAATTTTGCAATATTTATGCGTACTGTTTAAATTCTGTTTATATGATAAGTATTCCAAATATTTTGTCACTTTTATGAGTACACACTGTTCTGCTGTTCAAACTTTAAATCATGGTAGCTCTTAATTTATAGTCTGCAAACATTTGGAAGTCTGAGAATTAAATAACCATAGATCCGTGAGTAATTTTTATAATTAAATTTTGATTTGCTATTAATTTCATAATAAATAATTATACTGTCAGAATACTCATAAAATAAAAAACTTTAGTTTCTTCAGAGGAGAATCACTTTCCTGAATTAGAGTGAGATAGTTCTGTGAATTTTGCTTTCAAACAGAGTAATCTCCTTGGGTTTGGCATGTATGTGATGAATATGTGCACAAAACTGGCAGAAAAAGCTGTCACAGCCAGTTTTTTTCAGTACTTACATATTAATGCAACCACCATAGAAGTCGCCAAATTTTCAGCATGTGTCAAACTCCGGCAACCATGTGCTTAACCTTTCTTCCAGAAACCATACTTGTAAGAATCCATCAGGCAAGTAATGCCACCTTTTTTGTTGTATTGTAAGTTCCAATGGTTATTATAAACAAATCTTGATATTTTTTGGCCTTAACCCTTTGACGCGTGTAATATTATTTTTATAATTTCTTTAACTAAAAACTCAAGAAATTGAATATTATGATCCTAGAGACAAATAATATATGAATTTTAAAAAATCTACTCTTGCCCCATTGTTCTGTGGGTGGTGGTCGCACTGTGAAACCACCGCACGTCTAGGACTTTGAAACTTATCTAGGTAGTAGGGGGGAAAAAAAAAAAAAAAAAAACCTTTCTCCGTGTGTGTTTCCAATAAATGACGAAATTTACGAATTTAAAAAAAAATGTATGTAGGAATTTCATAATATATAATTTTTTTTACATTATTTTACAAAGTAAATCGTCAGAAAAAATTAATAAATAAACATTTATGTAATTTTTCTATAGCAGTGAAAATAAAAGTACCTACATAATAAGGACATTTGGCTAAATGGATTTAAAAACTCAGTAAAATAAAGATAAAAAAAAAAAACTCAAGAGTTTTTTTTTTAATTAAAAAAAAAAATTGTTCAAAGCATGTTTTGTCTTTTTGGTACACGCATAGACCCACATTGCACATTTCGCACATGTATCTTCTATGAGGTTTCTTCCTTGTGCTACAAAATGTACACTGCCTGGATCTAAATTTCACTGGTATATGTCCAGTGTTATTAAGTTTTTTTTTTCATCTGGCACATGAAATTTGTGGTTTTTTTATGTTAATGGGGGGGGGCTTGGTCGTTTTGGCTTTGATACGGATCATTTGTTTCCCATTCATACTTATTTTATTCGTATTTCGTCTCAGAATATTTAGAAAATATTTTTAATTTAAATAAAACTTTGCGCGATTTCTATTTTTTATTATAGCAAAGTATATTTTACATTACATTTAAACCACAGGAAATAATTTATAAAATCACAATAAGTTGGGGAGCAAATGTATTGAAGTCAGAAAAAAGTCTCTGGGAAAGAAAGACCTTTTTACTGGGCAGTTGGATGTATTGTTTACTAATAAAATAACTCTGTGGTTTCAAAACCCCCATATCTATATCCAGGTAAAAATAAACATTCCTATTTTGAGAAGCAAGCAAACATCATTGTGAAGAGCAGTGGTTTCAAGGCTTGACAACTGAGCCTCTAGAGCAGGGTTGGCCAAACTTCATGTCAGTAAGAGCTGCACGTTTGAATTCAGGAATGTTCGAGAGCCACATCTAGATATTCTAAAAGCTACAAGTTCATATTTACATCATAGTAAGTAGTGGAGGAGGTTTTAAATAGAAAGAAATCCCCGATAACTTTGTAAAAAGAGTCTAAACTAATTAATGACTTCTTTTTGGACACTGAATAGTTTTAGTTTAACATATTTCATACATATATTTTATATGCATGAGCCGCACAAGTTGCCTGTGAGAGCCATATCAGGCTCGCGAGCTGCACTTTGGCCACCCTGGCGCACAATGCTCTCGTGGTGCAGTGGTCACGCCCTGAAACCACAAAGCAAATGCCATACATATAGAGGGTTTTTTTTATATATGCAGTTTAATTATTGCTATTTTTTATTTGTTTATGATAGAAATCAGGATGTGCGATGAATAACTTTTGAAATTTAAAGTTGTTTATATTAATAAAAGGAAGTTATTTTGTCTTATAGAAAACGAATTTTAAAAGGCATCTGATTTGAAGTACTAAGACCTGAAACATGTATGGTTCTGCAGTCATTTTTTATTATTTAGAGGTAAAAGATCAGTAATCAATTTATTTTCACCCAAAAATTTCGGAAGGGAGAGGAGAAAAAAATTCGAAAGTTGGTGGTTTCAGGGCGTGACAACCGCGCGTCAAAGGGTTAAACTTAGTTTTAAAATATGAGCTTGTGGAATTTACCGGCAATGGAAGAAGGGAATGGCGAGGAAGGTTTTTTTTTTTTTTTTAAATATAGTTGCTGTTGCCAGGGGTTGCAGGAAGCCGAGTCCCTGCCATTCTCTGATGTTATTTTAAGCGAAAATAGATTACTGTGTACTTTGGGAGAAGAATAGTGAAAAGAATTACAGAAAATTTGAAGAATATAAGAGTTTTATCTATTTAATGTATCACGTAATCCTTATTTAATTAATTCAAATGTATTTTAAGTTGCCTTGTATATTTTCTTTTCTTTTTTTATGTTGATAATGTTTATTGACTTCTGATAAGTCGAGATAGTTGGGATCTTTCTAAAAAAAGGCAACTTCTACCTTTTCATCTGTAAAAATTCGCCATATGCACCAAGGTGGTTGCTTTAATACCTAAGTGCCATCTATTGTATATTTGAGTGAAAAGTCTTTTCCTAGCCTTTTGCACACACACACACACAAAAGTTATTACAACTATTTTATTTTTTAATGAAACTAATTTTTATGAAATTTGTAAACTAAACTAGGTTCTGATTATTTGTTTAGTTAAGCTTAAATAGCTCATATACGTAAAAATGTTTGTACATTGTAGCAAAAGTATAAATGTAATAATTCATGATTAGAAGTCTAACAAAATATGTAATAAATGAATAGGAATTCCTAAAAATATGTGCTGTAAATTATATTTTCTTAAATGCCACAAAATTTAATGTCTATAGTTCTCTGTATTCTTCCGAAGACAATTTAAATGTACTAATTAAAATGTACTTGTAGATGTAATGTAGCACAATATAAAAATGTAAGAATTGCACAAATAGAAGAATGTGTGCATATATTATGGACTCGAATGTGTATGTCAAATCATTAGCATTTTAATAGATTTGGGCTTATGATCACTCAGGGAAGTATGGTACAAAGTTCGTGATCCAGCCTGGACGAGACTTAAGCGACTCCAGATTTGGGAGTTTTCCATATTTCAGATACTCATTTTAAATTTAATAAGGTGACATGCAGAAATTATGAAATGAAAAATCTGAAATAATTGCTTATGAAATAATAAGGCATTTTATGACCTTAAGGGAATCAAGATTTATATTAAAAAGCTCAATATTTATTTGCTTGCTTTATTTGTTTCAATGTAAGTTGCTAAAGTAGATTTTTTTTGTGGTTAATATATACTCTTTAGTTTTATAGACAGACGTAATTTTCTTGTTTAGTTACAAAGTCCTGTAATTATTGTGTCAGGAATTCCCACTAAATTGTCATTTAAATTTTTTTCTTTTGTTCTCAACAATCTCTCTGTCATTTTCTTCACTATTGGTAGCAAAATTTTATGGTTTGGGAATCATGCTGCAGATTTCACTGTCCATTAGTTGATTGATTATTCGTGTATTGTCATCGCAATGGAATATTTCTGTTATATCTTCTTCATTTATTACCTCTTCTCCACAAATTCCATAAACTGGAAGATTTTGCTTCTTGCTTGCGATATCTGAAAGTTTTGAGACTTGCAACTGTCATCATAAAGCTTAATGAGCATCCATTATACACTAATAGGATGTGTCATGAGACTGGCAGCTAAAGACATGTTCTGCTAAAATTTGTTTTGTTGCTATAATGCATTCGGAAAGTTAAGACTGAATTATATTAGTTTTGTTATTTTTAATGCTTACATATGTTTCCTGCATATGCTTAAGGCTTATCTCAGTCCTGATGACGAAACAAATTCCCATATATGTTTAAAGTGGTACTTTTCTGTTATGCACCTGCCATGCATTTTGCCAGAGTTATTTAATCATAAACAATTTCTAAGTTTTAAGAGTAGTTTACAGATGACCAATAGATCTTCAGCTTTTAGGTGTCAAAAAGCATGGTAGGTGCATAACAGGAAAGTACCCTTAAGGCTTATCAGAACAAATTGTTTATTCTTAAGGAATATGAATATCTTGTACAAAATTTGTTTCTAAAAATGTATTAAATTTCTCCTCATCAACCCACTTAATATCTCCCAACACAGTTGGCTATTAAATTTGCAATCGTCTCCAAGCATATTCTGTTTGGTATTAGTTGCTGATTATTAGACACCGTTCCATTCATTTCTCAAGTTGCCATGAGTTATGTCATGAAGACAAAAAATAATAAAAAACTTATTCTCTAAGTTGGTGTAAGATTATATGATATTTAACAGGTGCAAAGTCTAGGATAAACTTTGATAAAATGTGTTGGTTTGAGATGTATGCCAAGCAATAAGGCAGCTAGGAGTCCAAATTTTAGAATTTGTATTGTAGTAAAAATATCTTTTGCAAGTACCATATTTCCTCAGTATTTTAGGACAAATTCTGAAAATTAAAAAATTGTTTGCATAGTTTTCCCCTTCCTCAGTGCATTGAGAGAGCAAGCTTTTCTAAATTTTAAAATTGATTCATCCATGTAGTCATTGTTTTCATCTTGCTAACAAAGACAAACCTCTCACAAACTACCTGCGAAGGTCACAAACCCCTTTTCTAATTGTTGAACTTTTTATGTGCCAGCCTAAAAACTACCAATTGCATTGAAGCAAACACGAATTGATATTCAGTTTACAGTTTCGCATAGTCAGCAGCACATTCACCTTCTCTAATTATTTATGTATAATTTGAGACTTAAGGAGGACCAGAGACAAAAAAAGAATGCCCAACTGTGACTTCATGCCGTGGTTCTGAATATTTAACAGTATTCAAAATCCGAATTATTTTAATTTGCTGTTTTTTATGCTCACCATCAAATATTCTCAATTTCCACTCAAGTATGGGCATCTGGAAGCCAAAATTTAAATTTGTTGTATTAGCGATTTCAAATTTTGTAAAACGTAAGGAATTTTTTATTAACAAACTCAATGCTTTCAAAGCGAGCAATGGCAACACTGTATGAAAAAAAAAACATTTTAATCTCCAGTATGCGAGACTGTGTATCAGAAATTCTAAGGATACGCTCTTTTAAATATTTTTTGATATTGCAGTTGAATTGAATTTTATGGTTTAAATGAACATGATATTTAATAAATAAAGGTGACACACAAAATGTTAAAAATATGCTCTTTTTGGGCATAAATATATTTTTTTAATATTTCTATTCATAAATTGAAAAATAATCATTGTAAAATGTAGTGGTGGTACTAAAGGTTAAATTTTTGTTTAGATGGTGAGCATTAGTCAAAAGGTTGAGAACCGCTGTCCTAGACAAACCACAGATTTCACCCCCAAAGTTGCTTCACTTAATGTACTGTATATTCTGCCATATAATGGGCACTTTGAATACAAAAAATGAAATCAAAATGTACTGGTGTGTGTTACATCTCAGATATAGAAATGATAGATTTAAAAGTAAGGAAAAGATGAAAATACAAAAATTAGATTTCGACACTTATGTAAATGCTGTTTTTTTTAAAAAGAAATGACACATCTTATGAATTTAAAAATTTTCATTATCAGATAATGTGAAAAGTTTTGTCTTCCTTTGTATCTTCAGGCACAGTATTGAATTCTATTTCATCTATCCTATCAATGTTACGCTCTTCCGTAAACAAACAAACGTCACCCGTTCTATCTAGATTGTTAAACATACTAAATTTTTTAAATGTCTTTTGAATTATATTGGGTTTAATTTCATTCCATGCTTTTACTATCCACTCAAACATTCTTTTGAGACTAGCATAATATATTTGGCCTCTGCCTCCTTTTGTAAACACTTTTTTTCACCTTCTTAACATCCATGCACTCCACTATCATGAAGCTATATTTCCAGTATGTGACAATTTTTATTTTCTCCTTGTAGGACAATACCATGCTTCTGAAAACTTATCAATTTGTTTTCTAAATCTTTCGGAAAACTTCGCAAAAATTTTATATTTTCTCGTAGAACTAAAGAATTCTGTGCCATTAATCAACTAACCAACTCAAATTTGCATTGAAGTTTTCACTTTCACTTGCATTCTTTTTTGCTCACTTTAAGGCAAATAAACATACCCTATTTCTTGTTACAATTAATCCATTCTGGTGATTTTCTAGGACCCAGATCCCAACAATCTCTTCTAGGATGGACAATTTTGTTACGCCTTTACGCAAAGCACATTTATTCTTTAGTCTATTTATTATTTTGATTCCATTTTTCTTCCACTCCATGTATGGAACTTTCATCAACACCAAACATCCTTGCTGCAGTACAATTTCCATTTTCTGTTATAAATTGAATGACTTTGCAGTTGAAGCCAGCACTGAGTTTGTTTTGTTTGTCAAGAGCTATATTTGCTATGAAAAGAAACACTAAATCTACTGTCTTTCAATTAAAGCAGATGGCCTTTGATGTTCACCTCTAAATCATGGCTTCAGATGCAGTGGTGTAGCTAGGGTGGGGCAAGGGGGTGACATCTGTGGATCGGAAGTGCATTCTTATCCCATATTATGTCCCCCATTTCCAAAAGATAAGAGCATTGTGCAGGAATGTTTCAGGTTCCTTTGTACAGAAAAAGGTGCATGTTGTGCAATAAATATAGAAAAAAATGTAGTTTGAAATTACAGATCTCCAATATACACCGGAATATACATTATTAAGATGCCAAACAGAAAGACACAGAACTTTTGCTTATATTTTATTTTGTAGAAATATATTTTAATTTGATTACTTTTGTTTTAAATTTAACAGCGAATATTTTCATTTGAATATTCTTCTTTTTCAGTTTATGTAGGTATAATGCCGAAATAAGGGTCTGTTGGTAATTCTGTTGACTCTCCTTGACAAATATATAAGAAATTATCAACTTAAGTTAAATTTTTTTTGGATTAATTTACATCTGTTTAAACTTTTATTTCCAAGTTTTTGCTTCATATTTTTATTTGTGTTTCCTAATTAGATAGATTTCCTCTTTCCTCTGTAGTATATTTTATATATTTCATTTCCATTCTTTCACACACATATATATATATATGTGTGTGTGTGTATGTATAATAAAATCTTAAGTCATTTATTCAAGACTATTACCTTCGTAGAGGTGTATTTTGCAATGGAATATTTACTTTAAATACTAGTAATCCACTTGCTAAATTTATTTTGGGACTGAAACATTTGGACTTTGTAAATATTCGATCATTAATTTATAAGTGAGGCATTTGCAGATTATCTGGTTGGAAATTTAGGGGTATACTGGAAATCTAACTAATAGAAATGCCACCATTAGATTTCTGGTTTAAACTACATCTATACTTGTAGCGAATCTGATTCGATGGCAAAATCACACTATGTTTGTAAGTTTCATCAGTGCTTTGAAAGTATGTTGCATGCATTATAATTTCTAATCCATTAGCGGCATAAAAATAAATTTGAACTCTTGTTTCAAAATAATAAGAAAGTGGTTAAAGCAATGAAAGCATTCTAATCAACATGATAATTGACAGATCAACTAAATTTTCATAATTAGTGATTCAGTTTGACACGCATTCATAAATGGAATAATGGAGCTCCTTACATAGACCTGAGAGTTAGCATTGTGCACTAAATGTCTCTCTCTGGGTATTGGGATAAAGTCTTTCTTGTTGGAAGATGGAACTTGTGGCATTATCTGTGAACACAGGTTTAATCACATTTGTATTAAACCTGTTTTTATGTATGCTGTACAATTTAGGGCTGCAGCAGGAAGTCAATTAGAAAATACAGCCAGATATTGCAAAATACAGCTCTGATAATAGTTCTAAATGCCTAATACTTTGTTAGAAATTCTACATATGCTAGGAGTTGGAAATCAATGTAGTTGACAATGATGATTTTACTGTGATGTTAAAGTTTTATTAACTGAGAGAGCCAAAGCTATAATTTAATTAAAAACATCCAGGTTTTTCATTAGCTAACTAACCAACTTTTAATGCAACTTTTAATTCAGATAGTGGTATAAATGTCATAAGTGGTTTAAGCTGAACTTCATTGCTAGGTAGCCAGACCTTGCTGTGTTGCAAAAACTGATTTAGGAGTTTTGGCATATAAGTGGTTTAAGCTGAACTTCGTTGCTAGGTAGGCAGATCTTGCTATGTCACAAAAGCTGATTTAGGAGTTTTGGCATTAATTTTGAAGTTTTCAACTTTATTCCGATGTGGTATAAGAGTTGATCAATCAGAGTGAAGCTGTAAACACATCCACACGTGTGCAAATCTAGCTTTACTAATTGATTGTGACTCCTCTAATTGACCGGACTCGCAGGTGTGAATGGAACTCTCGCATTTTATACCTAACTATACTACTATAATTTAATTCTTAGATGAAGATTGAATATTGTTTATAATTTATTGACATTAAAACAAATATCTACATTTATAATTTAATTAGTGACTTTAAAACAAATATCTACATTGTATATTATTAAACTATTTTTTTAATGTGGAAATAAAATGGAAAAAAGGAAGTCTTGCCTCTTTGTGGCCTTTTGTTATGCTGGTGTTAAGTGCCATTCAGTACAATTTACAGTAATCTGCCACTGGATAAGCATAAAATATTTACTCAAAAGTTTTTTTCAGTTTATTGAAAATTACTTTGTTTTGTCCCTTTTTATCTCTTAAATCAAAGGAGATAGTATTATATTTAAAAACAATGAAGATGATAATAAAATTAGAGTATGGATGAGTGTTGATATTTGTTGTATATTTTTAGCTTCTGTCACATATTTGTTTTGAAAATGGGTGGGGTAACCCAATATTCAGAATTTTATCTGTGGAGAATGCTTCAACCCAGGATGGTGCTGTATTTGTTTCTTTGGTAATTATGATTTAAATTTATGCTAACTTTTGTAAGTTTGTGCTTTACTTTGTATTCTGAATGTTAAAATATAGAGAATTCGCATTTGTATACCCCCTTGGTGTAACAGTCTGTTTTTGTGTATTGAACTCATATGAAAATAGGTATCTTATATAGGTTATACTCATACGAATATAACCTGTGTTAATTAATATAGGTTGTACTCATATCAGTGTAACCTATATTAAATAATGGAGGGACTTATTTATGGAAAGTCCTGACTTCTCATAAATAAGTCCTTCCATTGCCTTAATGTAGTACTTTTTGGAGATATAACAATTTATAAATCAGTCAAAATTATATTATAACGAGTATTAAATTTCTTGTATTAATATTACTGTCGTAAAGCCCTATCAAAGGTCACCAGAAAAGGTGAAAAAATAAGTAAATAAAATAATAAAGAATTGAAATAAAAGGTAAAAAGATAAATAGCACTTAATACATTGAGTTAAATTAGTAACTTACAGTTGTAAGTGGGGTTTCAGCAAATTATAAAGTTTCTCTCAAGAATTGAGAATTACCAAAGCCAGATTGCATTGAATTATGGCTGAATATAAGTCCTGGTTTTAATAGTGTTCTTGAATGCATGAATAAGGTAAAATGCTGATTCTTTGCCTAAGAAATAGGCGAGTCCATTTTTTATCCGTTTTTCATCAGCAAACAAATAAGTATGGAATAACCACTCCTAACCACTTTTCAGTACATATACCATTAGTACAGTTTAGCTATTTTTTTACACAAAACTGATACTTCATGTTATTAGAAGTTGCACATAAAGTTCATAATATTCCATCCTTTATCTCCTTTTGAAGTAAATAATAGATGTTTATCTATTTGGTTATACTGCAGGTGTGTTACATATAGATGAAACAGTTTTTTTTTTTTTTTTTTTCCTAACTCGATTATATGATACCTGTCTTGAAGATTTTTTTGTTTGTTTGTTTGTTTGTTTCTGCTTTAACTCGCACTGTTATTCACATTTCATGAAATTAAATCATCCTGTGTTCAAGGCAAGATCACATGAAAAATTCCAGCTGTTTTGAAAGGCAACAAGAATCTGCTTTTACTTTCCTTGCATTTCCTTTGAGATTTATCATAGCTTCTAATGATGCATTCATTAACAGCAGTTAAACTGTGTACTTCATCGCTTGATACTACATTAAAGATTTTCTTTACATATAACTAAAGTTCTTCTAAATCTGAAATTACCAAATTTTTTTACATTTTTATAAATAGTTTATTAGAGATTATTAACCCTATATATGGGACATCTCTTTGGACTTGCTGAGAAAAAATTTTATTAAACAGCAATTATTAACTATGTTTGTGTAATCACTTGTTTCATTGTTTGTATTCATAACTTTTCATTCATTAAAATAATATTTATATCATTAAAAGATAGGAAAAAACAAAACATCTTAAGTAACAAGTTAATATAAAATAAGTGGTAGAAAGTTTCATGACTAGATAAAAATGATCATGTTGCTGAAGTTTAAATATAGGAATATGGTAGTGAATACAGAGAAAGGAAATGCAGCAAACAATAAAAATAAGGAATTGAAAATAATGAAAGTATTTTAGAACTGAAAGGCAGACATTCACTGAAAAACTCAATATTAATGAAAATTTGAAAGTTTCATACAATTAGCTATGGATTTTCAATTATGGAGTGAAACTTTGTATTTTAAAAGTTCTACAATGGATGTTAAATGCTGCAACAATTTACCACTGAATGGAAGCAAAATTTAAAAAAAAAACTTTGATAAATATAATCTTGATGATGCATTTATCACTAATAAAACAAATTAATTCTAAATTTCTGCACAAAAAGTATTTGTTTATTAATGATGAGGCATGCAGTGCCTAAAAATATTCGTAGAAAATTTTGCCAAAACATGTAGAAAAAAGCCACAAACATGTAGGAAGCAAAAAACTTACACTTCTTTAGATGCCTGCAATTTACTTCATAGAACAGATATGAAAGCATGCATAAAATGTGTTACTATAAGAAAGATAAGATATCATAAGATCTTATGTGCAATCATAAAGAAACATTCTGTTATTCCTTGATATGTATGTTGCATATCATCAAACTGGTAGAAAAATATTTTTAAATATTGAATTTTTCTTGGATATTTCTGAAGTTTTAAAAGGAGTAGATAAAGAAATAATTAAAAGTTTCAAAAGGTATTGTTGGAGGTAAAATTTTAATTGGAGTAGAAAATAAGCATCTTGTGATGTATGTGTATTAGCAGCTCTGTCCTTAGTAAAAGCCATTTGGGATGAAATTTCCATAGCAGTAATTCACAAAGAATTTCATGATGCTGGGTTTATCAATGAAAATTATTTTAAAAACTTTCTGACAATAATGGAATGTTGCAAATCATCTCACAGCTGATACATATGAAAGATACTAATATCTTTCAAAAGATGACAAAACACATGAATATTCTAGATTTCACCTTTGAGTGGTATATTGCAATTGATAAAAAATATGCAATATGTAGAGGATCTATTTAAATGTGATTTAACTGTAAATTCACTGTGGATCATTTGCATTAACAAAATGATACCTATTTAACTTACTCAGTTTTCTGTTACCATTCAGTGAATAAAATTGTCTCCACATGATACTCCTTCATATTTTGTTGTACATTATTGAAAGTTAACTGTAGTTCTTTTGAATTTGTGTATTTAGGGTTTTAATCATTCAGTGTGTTTTGTTTATTGTTTGTTTTCTGTATATTGATATGCTTTTCATTTTAGGTGGTCATTCCTAATTATCCCCATGCGGTGAAACACTTTATTTCTAATACAAAGTTTTTATCTCCAATTGAAGCAAAACGTCATGCTGCTGAAATTGCTTTAAGAAATATTAAATGCCTTGGTGACAGTAAATAGCTATTATTATTATATTTCGAATTTAGTTTTAAAGTGTTTATGTTTTAATTATTTTTAATTAAAAATATTGATGCAGCTGAAATCTTTGTCAGTTTTTTTTTTTTTTTTTTGAAATTATTAATGATGCTTTAGGTTTTGGTTATAGGAAGATGCTAAAATCATTCGCACTTTAAAAAATGGCTAGTGTATCAACTTTATGATGTGAGGTTTTAAAATTAATATTTTTGTAGATACAGCCACTAAGTCCAACTTCCAATATTTTATTCAGATGATTTTGCTCATTTTGTATTCATAGTAGCAGATGTTTTCATTACTAAAAATAATAACTTTATAACGCCTTTTATGTTTGGCTATCATAAACTGAATCGATGTTAGCAAATAGTCACCAAGTCTTTAAAGTACTACAAAGTCAGGAGAAGGGTATAAAGGACTCCTTATTAACTCTCAGTTTTCACAGAAGGCACCAACTCATGCTTACAAAAGCCAACACTTTTGGCTTAACTCAAAAAGACAATGGATAACTTAAAATTAATGAAGTTAAATACAGCATAATGTCTTCACCTATCATGCAAGCTGCTTATGACTGGAAAATTGGCATAAACAGGCATGGTGTCAAGAATAGCTCAACATCACAGAAATCTAATCTTTAAAGAATAAGACGTGTCAACATGGCCATCAAGCAGGCAGAATACGCCTTGATTTCACCTTCCAAAACCTTCTCTTAAATACTAACTTCTTTCTCTCTCATTTGAATATACACGCACTAGTGAATCTGCATTCTGGCAAGAAAGTGAAAGTTGAACGTAAGAGTGATGGGAAAATTACTTAAACATAAAATAACTGTTAAGTAAATTAAATAAATCCCCACAACTTATTACCTCTTTTGAAATATTACAGATTCAGTGCTTTAGTTAATGAAGATGTCAGAACAGTTAGCCAGATTTGAGATGCAACTATATAAAAACTACCTGGAAAACTAAATGAAGAAGCATCATTGTGTACTGAAGACAGATAAGTTTGTAACTTGTTGAACATACCTAAAATCGGGAACATTTTATAGATTAGGACGTATTTGAAATTTTGTGCCATTATGTTCCAATTACATACGATTAAGCCAGTTTTTCTTTGAGTTCAAGGTGATTTCCCGAAGTGCACTAAATATTTAAATATGTACAGATGCTTATTGTTCCCTTCTTTAGTGTGCTAAGTTTTGTTCCCTCATGTTTATTACGTAAGTGGATATCTTTACCTTAACTTCTTTATTGTAATCATTTCATTTTTTAAAACTTTTTCTTTGATATTTAAAAACTTACTAAAAAAACTGAATATTTCAAAATGTTGAATAAAGGAATGGTGAATACTCACCTTGAGGTTTCTTTTATTGTTTTTTCAAACGAGTCCACAAATGGTGAATATCTTCTTTGCTTAAACCTGAAATTCACAACAGTGATCAAATGTTTTGAAAAACGTTTAATAAAGCATTAAAGTTACAAGCACATTGTGTTTTACAAAATATAGTACACACTCAAAAATTCTGTGCAGCTACAATTCGAAATCAAAACTTACAGTCACAGTTACAGAGGTAGGAGAACATTTGCCGATGTTCTCCCCCTTTTGAGATTTAGAGATTTATAATTGAAACTCAACAGTTTTCAAAGTCAAAAGGTACATTCACTCTTTTTTCAAGGGGTATCCAAATTGTGATTTTTGAATCACTACCTCATTATTTTCAAGATGTTCAGAATACCTCATCATTTTCAAGACGTTCAGAATCACTTGGAGGATTCTCATAGGGAGTTAAATTCTAATCACTGGTCACTGTATCAAGATCCTTCTTCTTTAACAGCTTTTCATTGTCTTTGACTTCTAATATATGTATATAATTTCTGCTTTTCCTTGATATCATTTATTAGAGTAGTTTGTGGGAAAGGCATAAGTGTTTCCTGTAAAAATCATTGCGCAGATATAAAATCTGTCCATTAAGCTACCTGAAAATTAGGTTACTAATATGGATTTTGTTTCATTGACTTGAAACAGATATTTTCATTATATTATATATTCATTGTCTTTGACTTCTAATATATATATATAATTTCTGCTTTTCCTTGATATCATTTATTAGTTTGTGGGAAAGGCATAAGTGTTTCCTGTAAAAATCATTGCGCAGATATAAAATCTGTCCATTAAGCTACCTGAAAATTAGGTTACTAATATGGATTTTGTTTCATTGACTTGAAACAGATATTCATTGACTTGAAACAGATATTCATTGACTTGAAACAGATATTTTTTTAATGATACCTCTCTACATTATAATCAGCAAGTTAAAAATATGAACCTTTATGATTGAAAACATTTCTAAGATTGTTTAAAGGAGATTAAAAAGAACTGAAATTCCCTTAAGTTTCATTTTGGTTGCCAATTTTATCACTTTAATGTGTTCTGTTTATGAAATAAATTTTAAAGCAGAATACTTAAGTAATTTCTTACTGTAAGAAGAGTTTCTTTTTAGCAGTGATGCTTCTATTGTATTTCTTAAAGCTTCATATAACAAATGTACAACTGCATAAATTTTTCTTTGATATTCAATGTATCAGTAATTGCAAAATAATATTAATGAAATTATGCAAATTCTTAGTTTCATATAATTATTTAACTGCTATTCGAAATGATTAACAGTATTGTTACAAAATGTCCACCACGTGGTTAAGATAGATTCTCCTCAAAACAGGTTTAGGGTTGCCAGAAAATTGCTAGGAAAGACAGGGTTGCCATATTTAGCATGAAGTCACCCATTTGGTGACAGTTGGTGATATGCCATAGACGGATGGAGAACATTCTAGAACAAGTTCATACTGGGTTGGCCCATAATGTTCTCAAGCACAGGCCAAAAGCTATATAAACCTTGCCTGTACACAGAGTAGCAATCTCTCGAGTGTCTCATAATTTATTGAGTTGATCGTTAGTGTAGTGTCGAGGTGTCTCGTCTGTGTAATGTGAGTTGATGGATTGAGAACATGCATCTTTGAGCCTATACAAGTGCATCGTTAGTTGTAGCACGGAGAGTACCTTAAGTTCGGAGAGCGATCGAGGAATCGGGAGCTGTACTCTAGTGCTTTGCTGTGAAGCTGTCCTCATCGTTATAGCCTGATAGCCTGAAGGCTGTGTTTCTGATTGTTTCACCGTGTTTTTCGTAGTTTTCAATGACTGTAAGCATGTTTTTGGAGTTGTCCTGAGTAAGACTGGCTAATAAATTGCGTTTTCATTCCTTTAATTGCTCCAAATCCATGAACCCATGCAGAAATGCAACAATACTTACGTCATAAATTGGTAATACTTCTGATGTAATTCATAACATTTTTTTTTTCTAGCATTTGTATGCTAACCTCTTTTTATCTGTATTTGCAAAAAAGAAAATGTAAAATTTTTCTAACATTGAAATATATTATTTATTCCTTTCTATGTATTTTATATATTTTTCAGGAAATTTCTTTCTATGATTTTTTAAATATTTTTCAGGAACTGGTAGATACATAATACCTTTGGAAGAAATGCCAGTCACCCACGTAGATAATTTGATTGGAAGAGGTGTGCCTATGTCTGGGCCACATCATGGATGTAATGATTCTTTCTCCTGTAATATTTATGAGAATTCTGTGACAGAAATCCTTCCTTGTAAGTGAGAGCTTGCAACTTAATTGTGTTTTTTAAATTTATTTAATGTGTAAAACAAGTATTTGAAGTTCTACTTTGAATAACCATTTATATCAATATTTTTCTAAACTTTTCAATTTATAATTAATAATAATAATAATTTAACTTCAGTTAGCTAAATCTTGTTAGTTTTTTTATGCAAATAATGACTTTGATTTGAAGGAGTTATAATTTTTTGTCTTTAAAAAAGAAAGAAATTGCATTGCAGATGCTTTAGCAGTCATCCGAGCTTGTAATGTTCAATTTAACATAACAAATTTTTTTTTAATTTACACAATTCTGATAGTTTACCGAGGTTACCTAGAGCAGAATATCATTTTACTTCTCATTATATTAACATTTTACATTTACATTACATAAACATTAGTTTCTTTGTATTTTCTGTTGTTTTTTTTGCTCGTATTGGCAATTTTTGTTTTGCAAATGGTGGTGGATGGCAGTCTTGATGAAAAGCTTGGCATAACATATATTTTAAAAGTATATGTGGCAGAAGCTAAACAAGCTTGAAAGTATTTGTGAAAAATCTAAGCTATAGATGTAATGCAGATTATTTGCAAATAGTGATGCTGTGTTTTTATTTTAAATGCAAATGTAATATTCTTTTTATATGTGCATTAGCTAATTTTTGAGACTGTTTGAATTTTGTTTCACTAGTTGTTTCTCCATTTGTAATATGTTTTATGTTGTGTCTTCAAAAGACAAAATAGCAAACAGTGTTTTTTTATGAAATTCCCCCCCCCTACAAAAAGTGCATTTCCAAGTAATTTCCCAATTAATGCCATTCCCAAGTAATTTCATTTCACGCTCAACAATAAAACTGATTTGGTTCAATACCATGACTGCTCATAATATCCTCCCACCTCTTAATTTTAGACTAAAAGGACACAAAACTCGAATGAACAAAAATATTATACTCTTAAAAGGAAGGAAGGGAAAAATACACAAAATTTGTAAAAAAATGAGAAAGTTTGATAGTCAGTTATAATGTGGCGATTTAATAACTCCCTTTTCACTTCTAGTTTTCTTTTCACAGTCTTTATTTTATGATTTCTCATTTTTAATACCTTTCTCAAAAGCAACCTGACCAATGGTTCCAACAACAATGAACCATCTTTATCTAATTCCAAGGGCTATAAATGTTGCATAGCATATACAAGTTCTCAACCTCTTTATTTTCAGCTTGACAACTCTGGTGCTATGGTCTTTCCCGGGGGCGTTGGCTACTGCTTCAACCGCAAAACAGACGTGACGTTTGTGTGCTCCGCTGAGTTCTTCATTGGAGTCGTGCGTTCGTTTCCTCTCGTGATTTAGGCTTTTACGAATGGCACTCAGCCAGCTATTCCGTCACAGCATTAGGTCTGCAGGCAGGGACTAGATACCGGCCGGTGGTTGTGAATGGCTACTGCTGCTGGTCGGGAAAACTTTGCCTGTAAAATGAAACCTTCATAAAAGCCCGTCGGGGCCTTATGTCACTTCCAGCTGTAACAATATCACCCAACTTTGTCTCACTTCTCTTTGCGGGTGGGAACTTAAACTTTGTCCACATCATCTCATAATTTTTGGTGATGAAATAATCTTTGTCTTAGAAATAATCTTTGTCTCTTAGGTAAAATCTATGTCCAAATTATCTAATCTGGGAACGCCCACTGTTTGCCTCTCATGAATAAATATTGAAAGTGTCAACAGAGTTAAATCATTCAGATCTTCTGATAAATAATTTCCCGTAAACTGTAGCATCCAAGCTATTAGTTTTGCAGTTTTTGTATATTTTGAGAATTTGTACAAGTACCATTCTTTATCCACATTAGCAGAGTTGACTAATGAAATGACTTCCTTTTCCCTTTCCTTTAAAATTTCTTCAAGATTGCATTGAGAGTCTTATTGACCATTTCTCTTCTGGTAGCTTTAACCTTTGTAGACCTTTCCACCAACCTGAATTCGGAACCTCCTGAACTGAGCAGCCACATGTTGGGAAATTGGCAGGATTGCAAGTATCTGGGAGATGCCTCCAAGCTTCTATCAAAGAAAGATATTTTAACTTCTTCACTCAGTTATTGTCAAAAGTTCCCCAGTAAGCTTTTACTGTAGCCGATAGAGGGCTTCAGAAGAATCTGTCCAAAAAAAACATGGTATACCTTTCAAACTCATAGCTTTTCTAATCGATGAAGTTAATTGGTGTTCTCTATGGCATGCCAGCAATTCTAGATGAGGTATTGTGATATCTTTTAAAGGAGTTATTCTACTTTTTGCCTGTATAAAATATGTTTGGACTTCTGTCTGAACTTTCTTAGAAATACAGCAATGCTTTAAACGACCTTGTTGGCATCATAAAATGTGTAAACTTAGTCTTTCTGTGCAGCCATTGATCTTTGCACATCTAGGGATTTTAACGTTTGATAATTGATAATAGCTTCAATTCAGCAATGAAAGTTTTGTATTTTTTATGAATTTCATCTGGTAGGATTTCATCCCAACCTAATTTAAAATCCAACTGTCTTGTGCTATGAGTTTTAAACAGTCACAGGACTTAAATGTCTCAGTGGATCAAATAATCTTTTGAGGTACTGATAGGATACTTCTTCTGGTATAAACGTCAAAATTAAAATCAGCATTCTGTATATCGCAGAAAATGACATCTTTATTTCTATTCCATGACAAACCAAGCACTGATGTCGGACCAGTGGGTTCATTCTGTCGTGCATCCATGGTATACTCCCACCCTCGAAGATGAAAACAAGTCATAGGAAGCAATTCTTTTGATTCCTGCATAAATCAAGAAAGATCTCTATTGTGAATGAATTCACACAATAATTGGCATAAAAGGAATTTTACAATAGTTCTGTGGTTTCTTCTGGTAAAGGTTTTTTGCTTCTCTCTAAATGGAAGTTTATAACTGCTACCAAGAGGAAAGGACTGCAAGGGGGACCAAAAACTAGTCTGCAGTGATGGAATATCTCAAATTGTCTAGATTTGTAATCTTTCTACCGTAAAAAATCTTAAACATCTTGTTTTTTCTCTGCAATAGAAATTGGAACAAAGGCTGTTTTAATGTCCAAAATTACCCCAATATCATTCATTTTGAATTTCATTACAATGAGTGGAATTTGTTGCATGAAGTTCAGCACCTTTTCCAGACAGTCATTTAAGGATGGAGCTTTCTTGACATGACAAGAAGCATCAGACACTGCATGTACTTTGGTTGCGGAGTTTTCCTTAAAAACACCTCTATGAGGCAAATAGTAGCTTGAATTTCCTATCTCATTTTTGGGAACCTTGCTCAATTATAACTTCATTAAGAAACTCTTCGAAAATGGCCTCGTAGTCTGTAAATTTCCCTTCATACTTAGGCTTTTCGGAGGTTCGGATACAATGTTGTTCAGCTATGGAGCTGTGGTCTTGTAGGATTTCTTTAATTTCTGCTTATGGTAGCTGTATTTCCCTTTGTCCAGTGTCTGAATAAAATGAGCCATTGCATTTTTTTTCCATTTCTTCTCTAGACTTAGTTTCAACTTGATCCGTAATATCAAAAGTTTCTATTTTCCTAAAATCAGCAATAAAGCTTTTTTTTTTTTTTTTATATATATTTTTTTATTATTAACATTGAAGTCACCAGATTATCAGAATTGATCTCTCGTTCTTTTCACCAGTAACTTTACCCATTAGCTAGCCTAATTTCCTTTCTCACGTGACTGATCCACTTTCCAGTATATGCAGTTTTCTTGAGAATAAATGTCTGCAAAAATCCACTCTTATCAAGAGCTCAGTGTCTGGATGACCTTTTCCATGGTCAGTAAGCATATTATTTTTTAGTTTCAACTCTCTTTCCCAGATTCCTTTCTTTATCTGAGGTATTTTTCCACAAATAATTGGTTGGTCAAGGATTTGGATATCATAGGAAAATCCAGTATTCGAATTCTTAAGAGTTATTTCGTATAGTTAGTGTTTTTATATTTGTAATGTTGATTCTCCAAATACCAAATGATTAATACTTTTAATTTCAATAGGTTTCAGAATTATTTCTGTAATTGCTCTCTGCAGCAGACTGCTTTGAACCACTATCAATAAGATTTTGGATTCCCCATGTCTTGCCTTCTGTCTCGATATTAACTAGTAAGGTTTGAAGAACTTCTTCAGAAAGGAAATGATTGGATAAACTGTTCTCTTCTAAATAAGGTGTCTTGATTTTCATTTTATTTGTGGGCAGTTCAGGACACATCAAAGTCCACTGTCTCTTATTACAAAGCAAGTACTGTACATTTTATTAACAAACTCTTGACTAATGTCCAACAAGTAAAGCAGCATTTCTTGTTTCTTGCCCAAAGCAAAATTTCTTGTTTTTCAACCTGAAGTCAGGTTTTTGACATAATAATATTCTTTGCTTTCGTGAAGTTCTCACAAAAGACGCAGTGAGTAATATTGTTTTTTTTTTTTTTTTTTCCTACTCCTTCTACACATAAATCTGTAACAAATAAATCTGGCCAGAGTAGACGAGCGATTGATTCTTTCCTTTTAGGTTAATCTGTGGATGTAACCCTGTTTTGCCAAACAAAATACCTTCTTCTCCTTCTGTTTTCTTTTTCAGAAAGAGCAACAAATTTTTCAATTTTTCAGCATAAACATTATTTGATGCTTCATCATTAGAATTTATAATAGGATTAAGTAACCCCATACTCTAAAAACATCTTGCAGTATGCAGGACTCGATGAGAGGGAAAAGCATTGCTGGATACTTATCAAATGTTAAACAAACTGATTCTTAATCTGTTAAGTATGCTTCTAATTTATCGTAAATTTGTGAGAAGCTTAGTTTTCTTTTTGCTTCCATAGCGTTGATTCTAACTAATTTTTAATTAGCAGCTCACAAACGTAGTAGTTAGTAGGCAATTAAATTTTTCTGAAAAGCAATTTTAAACTTTCTGTTGCCTTGGGCAAATCTATAATTTCACAAGCTCTCATTCCTTCATTTACAGACTGGATCAAATAGTGAAACCTATATTCATTTTCTATTTTATCATCTTCATGAATATGTTTAAATTGGCTGCAGAAAGATAGCTAGTTCTCAATTTCCCCATGAAATTTAACCACTTCTATATTTGGTAGTTCAAAGCTTTTATTTAAAATCTGTAGAGAAACTGCTTCAACAATTTTCTCCTTTCGGAGTCGGAAAGTATATTCAAATATATGCCTACACTAACCTTTGCATCAATCATTTTTGTGTTGTACAAAAAAAGTCTTTAATCCGGACTCGTCGGGACTTTGGCGATTCTGGATTATCAGTTTTTCTGGATTATAGACCATCAGTTTAAATCTGGTAAGATAGCATGCAGAAATTATAAAATTAAAGATATGAAACTGTAATTTATGAAATAAAGAGCAATTATAATCTAAAGGGTATCAAAATTGACAAAAAAAAAAAAAAAAAAAAAAAAGCTTAATATTTATTTGTTTACTTTATTAAACATTCCTTTCAACGCGCACATGTGTAAAGCATACATTACGCATAGTCGAAATTAGAAAATTGCAACCAGAAAACTATTTGATGTGTATTCGTGATATTTATAATGACGAGGAATTTGATTTAAATAATGTCAAAGACGGAATATATCGAGATGAAATACTGCATTTAGTAAGAAATTATAAGCTGAATAAAATAAAAACATATGCTCTGTAGATAAGGATAGTGCTGACAGATCAACTTTCAGTTCATTGCCCGTTGTGACGCCCCCCCTCGCAGAGCAGCGTGAAATTGATAAACAGATTTCGGAATGGTTAGAGAAACAAAGGATATGCTTTTATCAATTTTTTTCCAGCAATTCTACTTTTTGTTTGATGGACATCGAAACATGCTTTTGCTTTGTAGATCCTTTGGCAGCTCCAGAACCGGAAATTCTTTATGACATAATTAAAAGTTCAAGCTTACTTTTATAAAAATGCTCTAACAGTCTGCAAAAAATAATAAGCCTGATCCAATTAGAAGATTAAGGAACAACGCAATCTGCAACATTAACTGAAATAGATAATTAGATCAATTTTAGCTTAGCTTATACCGTCCGTTGTACATTCAACGTGCATGCGTAAAGGTATTACGCGCATGTGTAAACGCATTGAGGTCCGGATTGTAGATAATTCCGGATTATGGACGTCGGATTAAAACTTTTGACTGTAATCGAAATTGGTTTTATTTTTTTCCAAAATATTCTCCATGAAGATCAGTGAATACACTTTTACATGCTTTTGAACCAATTTTTTTTAAACAGTTTCTTTCACTCTGATTGAGTTAACTCCAAAACAGGCTGAATGCATCATCTGCTGCTTTGAGTGTCACAAATCGTTGACCACTTAATTCATTTTTGATGTGCGAGAATAAAAAAAGTAATTGTTTGTCTAATCGGGGCTATATGGTGGATGACCCATCAATTTGATGTTATGGCCCGTCCAAAATTGTTTTGTTTGAGCCGATGTGTGAGAGCTTACAATGTTATGATGAAGAATGATTTGCCTTTTGTGCTTTTTACAAATTTCTCCAACGACTTCTGGCAAACAAATGGTCATGTACCATTCAGAATTGACCACCCTGCATTCTTCTAATGCCTTTGTCGCCACGTGACCGGTCATGTTGAAGAAACAGGCAACCATTTGCTTCGATGTGCTTCTTCCACGAACAACTTTTGTAGGATTTGGCACCATTTGGAAGATCCATACAGTCAACTGCTGTTTGTTTCGAGCTCATATGCAGAGATCCATCATTACCTTTGTAGATATTGTACACAACCTTTGATGCACCTTGAAACTGTTTTTCGATTATTTCCCTGAACCAATTGACACTAGCCTTCTTTTGAGCATTTGTCAGATTATTGCGGCATCTAACGTGAGATGCTTGTTATACTAATGACCAAAATCTTACTTTATCAGTTCATGCACACCATCAATATTTTCTGGCACAAAAACTGTTTTTTGACGACCTTCACGGAATTCGTCCTGAAGCGAACTTTGACCGCAATTAAATTCATTATACCAGTTTTTTACAGTGCTGTATGATGGTACTTTATCGCTGTGTAAAGAATTAAGTTCATTGAAGCACTCTTGTCTTGATAATCCACGTTGAAAGTTATGAAAAATAATCGCACGAAAATGTTCATGAGTGAATTGTATGTTTTGCCTGTGATGAATTTTTCAGTTTACTCAAATCACACTAAAATAAAAAAAATCTTTCTGAAGAGGTTATGATTGAACTTTCAATTGGAATTGTCTCCGGTCGCCATGCAACACTTATTATTGCCAAAACCAGAATTATAAATGGCAACTTCGTAGCATTGTGTTTTTCTTAGTTGGTGTGAACCAGCCTTAGAGATAGCTTGTTCTGTCAAGTCGTATAGTGTTAGCAAGGGTAGCTTTTTTTTAATACATCAGCACAGGTATTATTTACTGATTAGAATAGATTCATTGTCAGCAGTGATTCTGGACATCAGCAAATTTGGTGATATATTGGCACATGATATCACTACCTCTCAAATCTTTCTTATACAGATTGATAAGTCATTTGGAGTATTTTCATCTGAGAAGGAATTATGTTGGTTATAAGACTGTATATAATGGAAATTACCTTAATTAGTGAATGCTGTGAAATCAGATAATCCTGCTTTATGTGCTTGTTTGAAGCATGATGGTGTTGATTCTAATTATGTCTGTAAGGATAATTATATGGCATCCTGTCATACTGTAGTCTGAAATTCAGCACATTGCTAGTTGCTAGAATGGATTGATATGCTCATTCTTCTGATCTAAATCTCATTCAAAGTATCCCATTCATTGTAAGGAACATTCTGATGGAATACGTAATATCATGTAATATCATCCATCAGCTACTGTTCTATAGCTGGAATGCCAAACTGAATACTTATCAACAACTTTATTCAAAGGATACAAACATGATGTGAAATGTGCATGATCTCCACCTGAGTTAACCCTTACTGAAAACCTCTCTAATTTTTATGTAGTCCGTGATATGACGGTTGTGTCATTGCAGTCTATTGCAGTCTAACTACTCGTAAGTATTCATATATCTCTGCAGTCAATGAAGTGCAACTACTTTTTAGTTAGTTATCTTCACATGTTTGGTATTGTATCACCAGTCAGTTTGATAATCTTTCATAATCAGGCCACAGTTTAAAGCAATTTTGTTCATGAAATCTGCATAGAATTGTATTGTATAAGTGTATTTTAAATATATGTTTGACTTAACTATGCTTTTAATTTTGTTCGTGAGGATATTCTGGATTTTGTATGCAGTGTTTAATATCAGTATAGGATTAATTATCATTTTGGGATTCCTGTTCTTTTATGTTCTGTAATTGTTTGCTATACATTTGCATTTGATTCTGATTATTTTTATAGAATATGAACATTATTTTAATTATTTTTTAGCTGGAGATCCACTTAATCTTTTGTCAATGGCAATATCCTTGGCTAAATTTGAACTGCAAACCAAAGTGTGTTCTGTTCCAAATCAAACAAATGAACTTTTGTAATACTGCACAATTTGATCACAATGATTTTATTTTTAATTTACTGTGTGTTGCACAGTTTTTATGTATTTTATTGTTTGCTGCACAGTTTTAATGTATTTTGATTTTAGTGTTATTGTTTATTTTATGAGAGTAATTTTTCTTTTGAGATAAAGAATTAATTTAACATATGACTGCGTAAGTGCAATTGATTTTCTCAAAATGCTTCATTATAAATTTAATTGTAAACTGATGTTCTCATTATGGATTACAAATTTACCTACTTTGAATTTAAAGCATCAGCAGAATATATTTCAGTTTAATATTTGATCACATATTTTTAAACTGATAGTTATTTATGGCACAAGTCAGACCAAATAATTGACAGTTATTAACTACTACTGGCATTATTAACATTGTATTTCGAATATATAAGTAATTGCAACACAAATATTCTGATTTTAATTTATTTGAATTATATTTCCTTTTTCAATTGTTGATGTATCTGACGAAATTCTTGTGTTTTATAATTAATGGTTTATTAAATGAAATGTGGAACATAATTTCATTTTGAAGTTTTGTTTAAATAAAAATTCTTTCAGCAGTTTTCACGAATTTATTTATTTACATTTTGTAACATAAGGTGATTTTATTACATTCAAATGTAAGATGGATTTATTTGGTAATTTGAAATACTTTAAATATAATAATGAAATATAAAGTGATTTTAGTTGACCAATCAATTATGGTAATGTAAATTTTGAAAATTTAAAAATATGCGGAAAAGTTTTGGAGATTTTATCAATGTCATACTCATTCTTTATTTTCATTATTTATTTAGTTTAGTTCTTATTATTTACCATCTTAATTCAAGCTCCTAAATATTTCTTCCTTGTATAATAAATTACATGATGTATTTGCTGTCACAAATCAGCTATGTAACAGCAAATGGGAACTTGTGTGCAAGACTTCACAAATCAAAGCTTCGGCAAAAACTTCAAAAACAGTGATCTTGAAGGAAGTACAATCCACCTCAACAATGTGGGCAAAATGTACACTTTTTGAGAAAGGTTTGTTTAATCAGAAGGGTCCATTGGAACCCAGAGCGTGCACTAGAGTTTGAAACATTATACTAAATTTAAAATTCATTCTAATCAATTTTGTAGGTTCTGTGTGTAGATGTTAAGTATTTTATCAAAAGTACTGGGAAAAGTACACTTACATATTAATATTTGTTAAATAGTGAAATTAATATACAATTGTATTTTGCCTTAAATGTTTTGTGTGTGCATTTAAATTTCTGTTACATGTTTTGTGTGTGCATTTAAATTTTTGTTACAAAAGGATTGCCATTATAAGTTATGTAGTTTTTTTTTTAATTTAACTTTTTCAGAAAACTTTGTAATTTCTTATTCATAATTGGTTAAAAATTCATTATGTTTCTAAATTTCTTAAGTTTGATTATTATTATGATAATTGATTATTTTCTAAATTTCAAAATTTAAATGAGTTTTATAAAATGTTTCATGCATTAGCAAAAAAAATGGTTAAATCTGAAAGTCATTTTCCATGTTTATGTTTTATTTGCCTTATATCAATAAAACATTTTGTTTTTAATTGTGATTTTATTATTTAGCAATTTGTTATATTTAAAAATGAAAATTTGCAGTTGCATTTGTAATCAGTTTTTTTTACACATGTATTAGTAAAAAATTACTTAAATTCATAAAAGAAAAGTATTCATTTTTTGTTAGTATAGAAATTATTGGAAAATATGCTTTGTAACTGATAGCTACTTTTAACTATCATTTTATATATGTATTTTCCATTGCATTTTTCTTTTTAACCAGATAAAAGCTCTTGTAGTTTTCTAAAAATTCTTTTCCAATTTTTTTCGTTTATAGTTAATTCTTTTGGATGCAGAAGGTCTGTAACATTTCATGAAAGTATGTATGTTGTGCGTCTAACTACATTTTAAAAATAAATTTAAGTGCTGACATATTAATGAATAATATATTAATTTTATTTTTTAGGTAATTCAAATGATTTTTATTGTTTAAGTAACAGCATTATTTGAAATATTATGAATGAGAATGTGGAAGAAAATTGTAAAGCTGCTAATTTTTTTAAAATTCTGATAAACTACAAGTAATTTTTAAATTCAAGAAAATAATATGAAAAATTACAAAATATCAAACATTTCAAATTAATCAATAAATTTAAAGGTGTCGAAGTCATTTCGCTCCTTCCCCAACCACCATAAATCTAACAATAGGACTTTAGTAACATCAGATATTAAATGCCTCTATTTTTCACAGATACGGTGATAATAAGCATCCGTTTCTTATTGAGGATTTGGTGCATAATGCAACTGCCTTATGTTCCAAGTTTTCACTAAATAAATCTTAAAATTAAAATACCTAAGCATGAATATTTGCATCATTTGTAACGGTTTTACAACTGGAAGCATATGTTGATTGTGATAATAAAAGCCGGGTAAAGAATTTCATGAACACAACAGAACATTTCTTAGCTTTAAATTAAAGAAAATATGCTTTGGAAGCAATTAATTTATGAAGCTTTCAATTTGTTTTTGTCTTCCACTATTATCTTGCATAGCATTCTTTGCCTTTAATAATTTTTTTCACGTATTTTTAAAAGTTTATGTTGCATAGTTGGTATTCCTAGAGGTATGCATATTAACAAGTACAAGATATGCCACTTACTTACATGGTTTAAATAGCTGAGCAAATTTTTTATGCTTATAAAATGCACTTTTTAAACTAATACTATATACATTATAAGTAATTTACAAATAAAAAAGGCATGATGAGGATTTACCAACAAGAGAGGAATAATAAAGATGAATCTCATAGGAGTGTATCTGAAGTTAATTATAGTATATTTACCCATTTGTCCACTTTTGCTGTCCAGTTGTTGTTCATCAGACAGGTGAAACAGAATAACAGCCATTTATTGAAGAGAGAAGAAAAAACATGACAAAATAAAACTTTAAACTAGACAGGCAACTTTGTGTTTTGCAGAGATTTTAATTGAAACTCTTATCTTGAGGGCGAACAGCTACAGGTCAGTCCGCTATGGGAGCAGAAAAATTCTGTAAAGTAGGGAGGAGCCTCAACCGTATTTATACCAAAAGCATTAATTGATGTTTGTGTGTCTCACCTTCTAGAAAAAGAATTTGAAAACCTTATTCTTGTGCATCACAGAGGTTGAGGTGGTGGATGGTCTGAACCTTCAGTTTTGTTTGTGTCATTACAGGGTAAGGCTTTGAATGAGCTGGATGTTTCCCTACATTCACATCATCTGGAAGATACATATACTTGATTAGGCAAAGAAATTACATTAAGTACTGTGATAATTTTCTTTGACATCAGGTATTTAATCTGTGTCTTGAACCAGATTTAGTCAGGTACATAGGTGATGGCTAAACATATTATTAATACTTTCTTTTTACAACTGAAAATATATTAAGAAAAATTGATAAAAATATTGCCTTTTGCAAATGTTATATATTTATTTTCTTCATTACGCATTTAACCATAGTAGATTTTATCATTAATCTGTTTGCTTTTGGGTGATGAAGTGCTGTTCTAATATGTAATGGTGTCCAGATTTAGAAATACAGTAAATTCAGCATTACAGAAAGTGATATTATCAAACACTAGATTCTCTGATTGGCCGGATCAATCAAATAAACTGCAAAGAACTGTTAATGTTTAATTAGAATATGTATTTGAATACTTGATATGTTTTGATACTTGTTATTTCTGTATATTCTACTTATCTTCACATTATTACCAGGTATTTTGAATGACCTTGTATATGTTTTATATGCAGTTTGATTATAAGTGACCCTTTTTCACGATTTGTATTAAATGTGGATTGTCTCTGTAAATGCTCCCAGTTTCTCAACATCAAATCGCCAGAGATAATCATTTTCACGTTAGGTTCATGAATATTAGGGAAGGCCTCTTTAAATATTTTGACAACTTATGTGTAAACGTATACACTGTGTTCCAAAAGTTAAGGAACATCATGTTTTTCAAAGCTTGCCATTACAAAAATGTCTAACATTTAAATTCACATTTTATATATGCATGATAGTAACATATATGCAAAAATAATAGCTGCCACTTTTATTTTATAGAAATGGGAGAAAATTGTAAATTTTGTTCACAAACGTTGATCTTCAATTGTTATTAGCAGTTTTGTTGACTGTATCCAGTAGAGTCTATCAGTGTCCAGGAGAAGTCATTTGTCTGATTCATTGAGGTGGTGGGTGATCAGATGAATGGAAATGGGGATGTCCCAAGTTGATAGTACTAGACATCTTCGATGTCCCTTGTAGTGTGGTCCAATGGCTATAGAACGAGTTTGAATGGGAGGATTGTGTGTCTAGAAGACATGTTCCAGGCAGACCAAGAGTTGCAACACCTGCAGGAGACCGTTATTTATTTCTTTCGGCCGAAAAGAGGAGCAACAATACTGTGCCTCAGCTCATTTATGGCAAATCATTCATTGGCAACATTAACAAGAATCTCAGTTACTACAATATGCAGATGTTTTCACAACACAAGTCTGTATGCTAGACAACCAGTTGTTTTGTATACCCTTAACATGTTAGCTTGCCAAACGTAAATGTGATGCAGAGGTGCCATTTATGTTTGGCAAGATAACACGTCTCCTGGACCACTCATTAATGGGCATTATTCTCTTCGCAAATGAGTTCAGTTTGACACTGGAGAGTGATTCAAGTCGTCAGTTGATCTGTAGGGAACAATGCACCAGATGCAACCAATCCCATATTGTGGAAAGCCACAATTGCAAAGGTGGTGGAATCACTGACCAGCATGTGTTCCATGGAGTAACTTTGACCAATGAGAGATAACGAGACGAGATTCTTGATCAGTATTATGTCGCATCTATTAGTCCTGGGTTTCTTCTGATGGATGTCAATGCGTGACCGTACCGAGCACGGGTTCCTGAAGTCCCGAATGAAAGTTTTAATATCTGGTTACACATACCAAAAATTTTTTGTGAGTGTCATCACATTAAAATTAGGTTAGATGCGATAATATGTTTTAATGGTGGTGTACAAAGCCACAATAAAGTAATGAAATTTTTAGGAATACAAGCAGGATTTGGTAAAGCCTATATGTTAATAAAGTATTTGAGAAAAATAGATTGTGATAGAATTCGTGAGGCCTACGTTGCTTGTAAAAAAGCTTTCTAAAATGGCAAGAAAGAAATATAAATTAATAAAACAAGAACAACTTGATGTAGAAATGTCAATTCAAGGTGATTATTGTGCAGGAAAATATTAAAAGTGATTTTTTATAAGTTACTAATGTTTAAATGGTTTTTACAGTTTTTTTCAAAATGTGCTTTTTTTAACTTTCGGTACACTTTTCTTGAAACCTATTCAGCTGGAAGGTTTAAACTTTTCACAGTTGTTTATCTTAACTATTTCTCTGAAATTATACAGGATATAAAGTTTACGATCATTAGTTTTGAGTATATTAAAAATTTATTACTATTTTTATATATGATTTTTAAAACATCTTAGTAATTTATTTTTAATATTTTTCTCTTTAAGTGAAATATGAAATACTGCTTATTATTCTTAAATTATATGTTTTTAACCATCATGACGTAACATTTGAAGGAATTTGGTGCAGTATTCTTTAAGAAAAGTGTACCAAACTAGCACACTGTCACAAAAGATTCGT